AGAGATATTGACAAGCTGGAATGTGTCCAGAGGAGGGCGACTAAAATGATCAAGGGTCTGGAGAACAAGCCCTATGAGGAGTGGCTTAAGGAGCTGGGCATGTTTAGCCTGAAGAAGAGAAGGCTGAGAGGAGACATGATAGCCATGTATAAATATGCAAGAGAAAGTCATAGGGAGGAGGGAGCGAACTTGTTTTCTGCTGCCCTGGAGATTAGGACGCAATGGAGCAATGGCTTCAAACTACAAGAAAGGAGATTCCATCTGAACATTAAGAAGAAATTCCTGACTGTGAGAGCCGTTCAGCAGTGGAACTCTCTGCCCTGGAGTGTGGTGCAGGCTCCTTCTTTAGCTCCTCCATGATAGCAACACTCTTGGACAGCAATGGCTCCCAAAGTGACCCATTTAAGGTGGAATCAGGTGTCAAACTGGGATGTGTTATTGCCCCAACCTTATTCTTAATCTTCATTGCTATACTTCATCTTGTTGATGCGAAGCTTCCCACCGAGTGCACTGATGGCAAGCTGTTTAATCTCAGCCAAAACCAAGGTCACAACAATGTTATAGAACTCCAATATGCCAATGATAACATAGTTTGTGCGCATTCAGAAGAAGACCTACAAGCCAGTCTAAACACCTTTGCAGAAGTGTACGAGAAGCTCGGCCTCTCATTGAACATCGAGAAAACCAAACTGCTCTTCCAACAGGCACCAACCAACCCATCTGCAATGCCCGAAATACAGTTTAATGGTGTAACATTAGAGAATGTTGACCATTGGGTTGTTGTAGGTTTTTCCGGGCTATATGGCCATGTTCTAGAGGCATTTTCTCCTGACATTTCGCTTGCATCTATGGCAAGCATCCTCAGAGGTAGTGAGGTGACCATTTCCACGGCCTTGGCAGCCACCTCTCCACCAAAGTCAACATTGACACTGAAATACAACACTGCCTGAGCTCTGCGAGTGCAGCATTCTTCCGAATGAAGCAGAGTGTTTGAGGACCAGGACATCCGTAGGGAGACCAAGGGGCTTGTCTATAAAGCTATTGTCCTCCCAACCCTGCTATATGCCTGCGAGACGTGGACTGTCTACAGATGCCACATGCAACTCCTGGAATGATTCCATCAGAGCTGCCTCCGGAAAATCCTGCAAATCTCTTGGGAAGACGGGCAGACAAATATCAGCGCGCTGGAAGAAGCAAAGTCCACCAGCATTGAAGCGATGGTCCTCCGCCATCAACTCCGCTGGACCGGCCTATGTTGTCCGAATGCCCGACCACCGTCTCCCAAAGCAGTTGCTCTACTCCCAACTCAGAATAGAAAACGTAATGTTGGTGGACAGGAAAAGAGATTGAAAGATGGGCTTAAAGCCAACCTTAAAAACTGTGGCATAGACACCGAGAACTGGGAAGTCCTGACCCTTGAGCGCTCTAACTGGAAGTCAGCTGTGACCAGCAGTGCTGCGGAATTCAAAGAATGAATGGAGGGCGAAAGGGAGAAATGTGCCAAGAGGAAGGTGCATCAAGCCAACCCTGACCAAGACCACCTTCCACTTGGAAACCTATGTTCTCAACATACGGATCAAGAATAGGGCTCCACAGCCAAGACACTACGCACGGAAGACCATCATCTTTGGGTTACAAGGGATTACCTAAGTAAGTAAGCTTATAGAATCCTAGAATGAGTTGGAAGGGACCCCCAAAGGTAATCTAGTCCAAGAGAGGAGTCCAAATGAGAGATTCACTGAAAAACTATAGCCAAAAGTGCAGCAGGGTGACGTCCCTCCCACCAAGACAACATTTTGGCAGTTTAATCAACTTTTCCCATGGCTTTCGGATAGAACCGATTAGGAAATGAGATTGCAAACCCAGGAACAAAGATCGTAGTGTGACATAAAAGTTCTCTGCTGCAATTTGTACCATGATTGCACAGGGATCTTGGCCTTGTCCTTTGGGCCTGGCCTGTTCCTCCGTCACCAATCTGATAAGAAACGTGGATGCAGGAGAGAGAGTGCACCGGAAAATTCCACTCCCCGGAAAGCCGACTCAGCTTTCTTTCATTTGTTTTCTCCTTTTTCTTTTCTTGCTTCCCTCCCTTCCCTTCTTCTTTCTTTCCTTGTCTACTCCATAGCTTTTCCTTTCCGTTCTCTTCCTATTTTTCTTTCCTCCCTTTCTCATTTCCTACATCTATAGTTTTTTTATTTTCTTCCCTCAATCCCTTTCTTCTCTTTCTTCCTTTTTTCTTCTCACACCTTTCCCTTTCCTCTCTTCCATTCTTTTTTCTTCCCTCCCTTCTGTCATCCCTTTCTTCCCTTCTCTCTTCCATAGCTTTTCCTTTCTCTTTCTTTCCTCCCTTCTTTCTCGTTTCTTCTTTAATCAATAGCTTTTTTCTTCCCTCAATCCATTTATTTTCTTCTTTCCTTTTTTCTTCTTACACCTTCCCTTTTCCTCTCTTCTATTATTTTTTCTTCCCCCCCTTCCACCATCCCTTTCTTCCCTTCTCTCCTCCATAGCTTTTCTTTTCCTTTCTCTTCCATTCTTTCTTTCCTCTTTTCTAGTTTCCTTCTTTCATCTACAGCTTTTTTTCTTCCCTCATCCCTTTCTTCTCTTCCTTCCTTTTCTTCATATCTTTCCCTTTCCCCTCTTCCATTCTTTTTTCTTCCCCCCCTCCTTTCCCTCCCTCCCTTCTATCCTCCATAGCTTTACCTTTCCTTTCTCTTCCCATCTTTTTCCTCACTTCTTTCTCGTTTCAATCTTTCATCTATAGCTTTTTCTTTTCTTTCCTCATCTCTTCCTTTTTATCTTCTATCACACCTTTCCCTTTCCTCTTTCATTCTTTCTTCTCTCCCTTCCATCATCCCTTTCTTCCCTTCCTTTCTCTTCTTTCCTCTATAGCTTCTCCACTTTCCTTCCTTCCCTCCCTTCATCCTTTCTCCCTTTTCTTCATACACCAGTCCCTTTTCTTCCCCAGTGATGTCACAGAGGGCCACTTCACCTAGTGACAGCCTTTGTGGTACAAATGGACAAACATACATACACACATACATTTGACTTTTAGATATACACATGAAAGGATGGAAAGAGAAAGATGCATAGAGCGAGACAGACACATAGATGGGTGGATATAGATAGATGCATAGGGACATACACATGGATGGAGAGAGAGTGATAGACAGATAAACATGAATGGATGGATGGAGATAGATGCATAGAGAGAGATATACACATGGATGGCGAGAGATAGAAATATACACATGGATTGTTGTTGTTCATTCATTCAGTTGTTTCCGACTCTTCGTGACCTCATGGACCAGCCCATGCCAGAGCTCCCTCTCGACCCACAGCTCCTTCAAGGTCAATCCAGTCACTTCAAGGATACCATCCATCCATCTTGCCCTTGGTTTTCCCCTCTTCCGTTTTCCTTCCATTTCCTTCCATTCCAGCATCGTCTTCTCTAAGCTTTCCTTTCCTCTCATGATGTGGCCAAAGTACTTCATCTTGGCTTCTACTATTCTTCCCTCCAATGAGCAGTCAGGCTTTATTTCCTGGAGGATGGACTGGTTGAATCTTCTTGCCGTCCAGGGCACTCTCAGGATTTTTTGATGTTTAGCTGCAACCCAGCTTTTGCACTTTCTTCTTTCACCTTGATTAGAAGACTCCTCAGCTCTTCCTTGCTTTCGGCCATCAAAGTGGTATCATCTGCATATCTAAGGTTGTAAATGTTTCTTCCAGCAATTTCCACCCCAGCCTTGCATTCCTCAAGCCCCGCACATCGCATGATGCGCTCTGCATACAAGTTGAATAGGTTGAGGGAGAGGATACAAACCTGCCGTATGCCTTTCCCAATCTTTAACCAGTCTGTTGTTCCGTGGTCAGTTCTGACTGTTGCTCCTTATACAGATTCCTCAGGAGAGAGACAAGGTGGCTTGGTATGCCCATCCCACCAAGAACTTGCCACAATTTATTATGATCCACACAGTCAAAGGCTTTGGAATAGTCAATGAAACAGAAATAGATGTTTTTCTGAAACTCCCTGCCTTTCTCGATTCTCCAGCATCCGGATATTGGCAGTTTGGTCTCTGGTTCCTCTGCCTTTTCTCAACCCAGCTTGTCCATCTGGCAACTCTCTCTCCATGTCTTGCTGGAGTCTTCCTTGCAGGATCTGGAGCATTCCCTTATTGGCATGAGAAATAAAGACCACTGTACGGAAGTTTGAGCATACACATGGATACATGCATAGATACAGACAGACACATGGATGCAGAGAGAGAGAGAGAGAGAGAGAGAGAGAGAGATACACACTGATGGATATAAATAGACAGATACATAGTCATGGATGGAGAGAGTGGTAGATAGATATGGATGTAGATAGATAATAGATCGATAGATAGATAGAGACATACACATAGATGGATGTAGATAGATACATAGATACACACACACATATACACATATATATGTGTGTACACATGGATGGATAGAACTAGACAGAGACATATGCAAGGATGGCGAGAGTGATAGATAGATAGATAGATAGATAGATAGATAGATAGATGCATAGAGAGAGATATACACATGAATTGATAGAAATAGATAGATACAGACACATGGATGACAAGAGTGACAGATAGATAGACAGACAGACAGACAGAAATATACACATGGATGGATGGGTGGATATAGATAGACAGAGAGAGAGATGCCTGGAGAGAGAGATACACGTGGATGGAGAGAGATAGAAATATACACAAGGATGGATGGATAGATGCATAGATAGAGACATATATATTGATAGAGAGAGTGATAGATAAGATAGATAGATGCATAGAGACATACACATAGATGGATGGATGGAGAGAGAGTGATAGATAGATCGTTCGATTAGTAGATATATGGCTGCATAGATAAAGATATACACATGGATGGCTGGAAAGACAAATGACTAGAGACAGATTCTGCCAAATCCCCAAAACAAGAATGCGCACCAGGCCAAAAACAGGCAGAAATCAATGGGATTCTTCTTTTTTTAATCGACATTTTTGGCCAAAGGAGAGCGGGGGAACCCCACGCAACTTGCTGAAATGCATCAAGCGGATCCCATATTTTCGACAGGGAATACGGGAACCGCACCAATTGGCGAGGACGTTCCGGGCGCCCAACGCTACACACAGATTCTCTATCCTAAGTGCGAGTCCGGAGTGTGATTTCGGGCGCTTCCTGTCGTCTAGTTAAGGACCGTTGTCTGATGGACAACATAGGACGGACTGGGGAAGTCCTTGCCACTTGGAAGGAAGGCTATTCAAGGGTGAAGGAAGGGAGGGGTGGCTGTGTTTCTAGGATCCCATCTCTCCTTTCGCTCCTTTCTAGTCTACAGAGCTGGATCCATCTTGCAAGTACCTTTGGTGCCACCGTAATCCTGGGATTTGTAGTTGACAGACTGCTCTCCTGCACTGCTGCAATGCCGCTGCAGGGAAGTTATGAGGAGATCACATGATTCCATTGCTGCAGTACCGTTGCAGGAAAGTTGCAAGGAGATTGCTCTTGTGCACTGGTGAAATACTACCGCAGGGAAGTTGCAAACCTATTGCTCTCCTGCATTGCTGCAATACAGTTGCAAGGAAGTTGCAAACCTATCTCTCTCTTGCATTGCTGCAATACAGTTGCTGCAAACTTATCTCTCTCTTGCATTGCTGCAATAGAGTTGCAAAGAAGTTGCAAACCATCGCTCTCTTGCATTGCTGCAATACAGTTGCAAGGAAGTTGCAAACCTATCTCTCTCTTGCATTGCTGCAATACAGTTGCAAGGAAGTTGCAAACCTATCACTCTCTTGCATTTCTGCAATAGTTGCAAAGAAGTTTCAAACCTATTGCTCTCTTGAATTGCTGCAATACAGTTGCAAGGAAGTTGCAAACATGTCGTTCTCTTGCATTGTTGCAAACCTATTACTCTCTTGTATTGCTCCAATACAGCTGCAAAGAAGTTGCAAACCTATCGTTCTCCTGCATTGCTGCAATACAGTTGCAAAGAAGTTGCAAAATTATCGCTCTCTTGCATTGCTGCAAACCTAATGATCTCTTGCATTCCTGCAATACAGTTGCAATAGTGGCAAAGAAGTTGCAAACATTACTTTCTTGCATTGCTGCAAGACAGCTGCAAACATATCACTCTCCCGCATTGTTGCAAACATTGCTCTCTTGCATTGCTGCAAACTTAGTGCTCTCTTGGATTGCTGCAAGACAGCTGCAAAGAAGTTGCAAACTTATCGCCCTCTTGCATTGCTGCAAACCTATTGATCTCTTGAATTGCTGCAATGCAGTTGCAAAGAAGTTGCAAACCTTACTTTCTTGCATTGCTGCAATACAGCTGCAAACATATCGCTCTCCTGCATTGTTGAAAACACACTGCTCTCTTGCACTCTGCAATAACGCTGTAGGAAAGTTGCAAGGAGATCGCTCTCTTGCATTGCCACAATGCTGCTACTGAGAAGGTGCAAGCATGAGGAATCCCAGGATTGCACTCAATCGGCATCGAAGCGGTGTAATTCCATCGTGCGGGTCCATCTGGGCTTTATAAAGGCCCGATCTCTCCAAAGTAAAGCAGGACTTTCAATTGTTCGGAAAAGAAGGCCTCTCCTTCTTGCAGTCAAATCCCCGCATTGAGAAAGCGGGGATTTGACTCTTAAGTGCGTTTCAAGCGGACGTGCGGCCATTTTGGGTCTCGCAAAACAAAGCAAAAGGCAGCGTGGCGGGAAAAAGGGGGAAAGCGATATAAGTTCTGTCGTTGGCACACGTTGGGAGGAGGAGGAGGAAAACAATACATTTTCCTCCGGGAGTGAATGAATGGCGGAAAAAGGGGGAAACGAAAAGATACTCGACGGGAGTGTTTCCAGGAAGACGGGCAAGATGGCGGGAGGAGGGCCGCCAAAGCCTTGTGCGTTTCCTTCCTTCGCTTTGGGCCGAACGGAGGGGCAAGGACTCTCTTAAAGGGACAGTGCTTGAAAGAAAGTCCCGCAAAGAAGAGAAGGAGGGAAAGTTACCCAAAAGAACGAAAGAGAGAAAAGAGGCTTTCTTCATTGGCGTCATCGGCGTTGTTGTCGCTTTGGTTCAGCAGCTTTTACTGCAGAGGAGACACCTTCAAGGGGATCATGATGCGGGACTCCATCTCCTGAATCAAGGGCACTGCCAAGGAAGGAAGAATGGAGAAAGGAAAGAAAACCCACTTGTTGAAGCAAAGCTTGCACTGTCTGCACCCACAAAGGGACTATATTACCCTATTGTAGCTAATTCAGCCTCTCTTAGTTAGAAGGGGTTCGGTTTTTATTGTAGAGTTTACTAGGTTGTGGATGAACTACAACTCCCATACATTAATAAATTAAAAACTAATACTAAATACTAAATATTATTTATAATAATAATACATCCTAAGAGAAAAAGTTATTTCTGAATTAATATTACAGTTAATAATATCCCAAACGAAAGGAGAAGCTTATTTTGGAATAATAATAATAATATATCCTAATAATCACAGACCTAATAAACACAGTCCTAAATGCTTGGGAAGTGTTCGACTTGCAATTTTGTGATACAAAATCCAGCATATATGTCTTGTTTGCTGTGACATACTGTGTTTTTGTGTCAATAAAATAATATAACCTATTATTATTATTATTATTATTCTCCAGAAATAAGCTTTTTCTTTAGGAGTTATTATTGTTACTATCTTTGGTCCCCGCTGTTGCCCGAGTTATTTGAAAAAGTCTAATTGTCCAAAATGCATAAGTTGTGGGTGAACTACAACTCCCATCAAGCCAGGTTAACTCCCTGAAACTCCCATCAGTACTTAAAGTTTGTTATGTTGGGCAAGTCTGCTCTCGATGCATCATCGGTGGGGTTTAGTGTGCTCTCTGGCTCCAGGGTAAACTACAACTCCCACTATGGTGAGTCAGTCCCCTCAAACCCCTCCAGTAGGTGGAGTTACTCATGGGGGTTCTGTGTGCCAAGTTTGGTCCAGGTCCATCATTGGTGGAGGTCACTGTTTCTCTGGTTGTGGGTGAACTACAACTCCCAGAAAGGAAGCTCGGTTCCTCCCATATCCCTCCAGTAATCAAATTTTGGCATATCGGGTCTGGGTGCCAAGTTTAGTCCGGATCCATTGGCGTTTGGGTTCACAAGTGCTCTCTGGATGTAGGTGAACTACAACTCCCCCAAATCAAGGTGAATTTCTCCCAAAGACCTCTAGTATTTTTTTACTGGCCATGGAGACTCTGTGTGCCAAGTCTGGTCCAATTCCATCTTTGGTGGAGCTCAGAGTGCTAATTGATTGCAGGTGAACTATACATCCCAGGACCTACAACTCCAAAATGCCCAAGAAATTCCCCTCAAAACCCACCACATGATGGGATTTGCAGTACCTTCACCTGTTTCCACAGAACACTGTGACCCCCACGAATGACTGGTCCAATTCCATTTTTGGTGGAGTTCGGAGTGCTCCTTGTTTGCAGGTAAACTATACGTCCCAGTACCTACAACTCCAAAATGCCCAGGCAATTTCCCGCAAAACCCACCAGTTGATGGGATTTGCAGAACTTTCACCCACTTCCACAGACCACTGTGACCCCCACAAATAATGGGCCTGGACCAAACTTGGGACACAAAACCCCCATGACCAACAGAACATACTGGAGGGGTTTGGAGACCTGGCCCACCCACGTGGGAGTTATAGTTCACCCTGCATCTGATGAACCTGGACCAAGCTTCGAACACAGAACCCTGGTGACCAACAGTGTTGTCTCCTGTGCTATGCTAATAATATAATATAATATAATATAATATATTGTATATAGATATAATATTTATTACTATAATGTAATATTTATAATATTATATTATAATGTAATTCAATATAATACTAATAATAATATATTATATTTATATATTTTATATTACATGTAATATTACTAATAATATTACACTATAATGGTATAGTACAATATAGTAATATATAATACTGATATTGTACTATGCTAATAATATAATATATTGTATGTATATATATCTTGTAAGCCGCTCTGAGTCCCCTTTAGGGTGAGAAGGGCGGCATAGAAATGTCATAAATAAGTAAATAATACTGGAGGTGTTTGTGGGGGGACTGACCTACTCACAAGGGAGTTGTAGTTCACCCTGCACTCTGAACCCCATCATGACGGATCTTGACCTAACTTGGCACACAGATCCAATATGATCAACTATGAATACAGGCTGAGTTTGGGCGTGATTGCTCTAGGAATCTAGGAGTTGCAGTTCACCTGCATCCAGAGAAATTGTGATCCCCAGTGACAATGGACCAAGACCAAATTTGACACAAGGAAGTCCCATGACCAACTGAACATAATGCAGAAGTTTGTGGGAATTGACCTTCATTTTGGGAGTTGTAGTTCACCTGCATGCATCCAGGAGGACGCAAACACAGCCGACATCGGATCTGGACCAAACTTGGCACACAGACCCAACATGGCCAACTGTAAACACTGGCATGGTTTGGGGAGGATTGACCCAAGATCCTGGGAATTGTAGTTCACTCATATCATTATGTATTTTCTAAGGGGAGCATTCATAAACAACAAAATCAAAGACTGGCTTTTTCACATCCTAACACAGCGCTCAATCTGCCATGTTCTGTTTTCTGAATGTCATGAGAGTTGAAAAAGTACATATGTCCACGGATCACCTTTGTTTTAAATCAGATCAGCTTTGTTTTAATCTCTTATCTTGGAATAATAATATTAATAATAATAATGGAATGAACAGGCCCCCAACATAGCAAGCTGGTTACCATTTCAAACCCCAAATCACTATATAGGTAAATATGGGCATAGTTTAGAGGGAAAATAGCCCAGAACCAAAGAAGGGCCACAGAGAGCCTCACCTGTGTAGTAAACCAGCTCATCCCACCCGGGTTTGTGCCAGGCAGCGTTGCGGATGTCTTCTCTCGTCTGGAGGTCTTTGTAAGCTGGAACAACAGGGGGAAAAGCTTTGGAACAAACATCTATATTGAATCCTAGAGTTGGAAGGGACCTCCAAAAGCCATCCAGCCTGCCCCTTTCACCCAAGCAGGCAAAGCACTATCAAAGGCCTCCTGACAGATGGCCATCCAGGCTCTGGTTCAAAGCCTCCAAGGAAGAATGGATGGATGAATGGATGGATGGATGGATGGATAGATGGATAGATAGATAGATAGGAATGGAGGGAGGGAGGGAGGGAGGGAGATGGAAAGGAGGATGGATGGATGGGTAGGTAGGTAGGATAGGTAAGATAGATAGATAGATAGATAGATAGATAGATAGATAGATAGATAGGAAGGGAGATGGATGGATAGATGATGGGATGGACATGTAGGTAGGTAGGATGGATATATAGGAAGGAAGCATAGGTATGTAGGTAGGATGGATTCATCAATCGATAGGCAGGTAGGAAGGAAGGAAAGGTAGGTAGGATGGATAGATAGATATGAAGGAAGGAAGGAGGATGGACTGATTGATTGATTGATAGGTAAGTAGGTAAGTAGAATAGGTAGTTTGGATGGATGGATGGACAGACAGATAGATAGGATGGATAGTTAGGTGGGTGGGTTGGTTGGTTGGATGCATAGATGGATGGAAGGAAGAGGAGGTAGGATGGATGGATTCATCGATCTATCGATCGATAGATAGATAGAAAGGAAGGAAAGATAGGTAGGATGGATTGATTGATAGGTAGGTAGGTAGGTAGGTAGATAGATAGGAAGGAAGGATGGGTGGATAGAGGAAGGAAGGGGTTCATCTTTCTTCCTTCTTTCTCCTTCCTCCACTTTTTCTTTCCTCCTTTCCTTTTCCTCCTTCCTCCCTCGCTTCCTTTCCTTCGTTCTCCTTCCATTGTTCTTTCCTCCTTTCTCTCTCTTGAAAGCACACAATCTATTCAGCACCAGGGGGCTAACAACAACAACAACCAGGGCGTGAGGCCCCTCCTTACCCCAGAGGTGGTGGACCATGTAGAGCTGTCCGATCTGGGAGAAGAAGCCACCCACCGCTTCTTTGTCATCCTGACGGAAGCCAATGGCCCGGGCCCTGAAAGGCAGAAGGCAGGGAGAAGGCACTGGGGTATGTGTATACATATATACAAAAGGGATCTTAGTAAGATGAACATGAGTCAAGAGGGTGATGCTGCAGCAAACAAGGCCAATGCCATTTATTTATTTACAGCATTTATATGCCACCTTTTTCACCCCAAAGGGGACTCAGAGCGGCTTACAAGATATATATACATACTATTGTATTATCAGCATAGCACAATATCAGTATTATATATTATTATATTGTAATATTTCATGCAATATAAAAGATATAATTCTAATACTGTACTATTAGTAGTATTATATTGTATTGCATTATAATATTATAAATATTGTATGTATATACAATATATTATATTATTAGTATAGCACAGGCGACAAGGTGGATAATATAATGGATAATAATATAATAGTAATTCTATTTTCCTTCCTGGCAGAAGGGGGTTGGATTGGATGCCCTTTAGAGGTCCCTCCCAACGCCAGAAGTCTCATAACAACAACAACAACAACAACAATAATAATCTAAATAAATAAAAATGTAATGTTTGTTTGTGGGATTAACGTAACTCAAAAACCACTGGACGAATTGACACCAAATTTGGACACAACACACCTATCAGGCCAACAAGTGACTATCACTCATAAAAACACTGAAAAACACCGCAGAAGAAACTTTAAAAGCCCCAAAATAAAAAAATACATTACAAGGCATGCACACAACCACATATATACATGAACACACATATATACACATATATACACACACAAAACACATATACACAGACTGGGCCACAGCAACGCATGGCAGGGGACGGCTAGTGTATAATAATGATACAATAATAATAATAACAATAATAATAAATAGGTAATAACATAATAGTAATTCTGTCTTCCTTCCTGGCAGAAGGGAGTTGGACTAGGTGGCCAAGACCCTCCCAACTCTAGGATTCTCACAACAACAACAACAACAACAACAACAACAACAACAGAGAATAATGTATAATGGTGATGTATAATAAATAAATAAATAAATCTTTATTTATTTACTGCTCTATCTCCCTGAGGGGGACTCAGGGCGGTTTCCAAGTAACATAACATAATAATATAATAATAATAATAATAATAATAATAATAATAATAATAATAATAATAATGGATAATAATATAATAGTAATGGATAATAATATAACATAATAATAATAATAATAATAATAATAATAATAATAATAATAATAATGGATAATAATATAATAGTAATTTTGTCTTCCTTCCTGGCAGAAACAGGTTGGACTGGATGCCCTCTGGGAGTCACTTCCAACTCTAGGATTCTGTATTTGTGGGTCTGGTTTTCATGGGAAACCAAGTCCACCCCCCTCATTCTGAATGACAAACTTTGCCAAGTGATTGCATCAGCCAGAGTTGGCTGGCAGGTCCACCGAGACAACAAGAGCAAGAGGTCATCTGGTTCTTTCTTTCTGGCGGTGCCGAAGCCCAAGGGCAGGATTTCAAGGGGAAACCTGGGAGCTGAACCGCCAATGAAAAGCCTGTTTGGCTGGAGAGGAAAACCAACGGCAGGCGGTGAAAATTGTGGCTGGCTGCACCGCCCCCGTCGAGGAACATTATGATCATCATGATTATTAATATTATGCTTGAACATGTGCTTTCCATCAAAAGGCCTTCCCTTCTTTTTCTTTTTCCCCTTCCTTTCTCCATTTTTCTTTCTTCCCTTCCTTCTCCTTCATTTCATTCACTTGTCTTCCTTCCTTTTCTCTTCCTTTCTCTGACCTTTCCTTCCCTCTTTCTTTCTCCTTCCCCCCTTCCTTTCCTTTGTTCTCCTTCCATTCTTGCTTCTTTCTTCCCTTCCCTTATCTGTTCTTTCCTTCCTTCTCCTCCCTCCCTTTCCTTCATCCACCTTCCTTCATTCTTTCTCCTTCCTTTTTTCTTTCCCTTTCTCCAATCTTTCTTTCCTTCCTTCTTCCTTTCCTTCATTCCCCTTCCCTCCTTTTCTTCTTCTTCCATTCCCTTCCTTCCTTTCCTTTGCCTTCTTTATACATTATTTCCTTCTTATTACAGATTGGATGATCATTCATTGGTAGTGAGTCTATAATTCTATAATAATAGTAGTAGTGAATGTTCTAATAATAGTAGTAGTAATAATAATAAGAAGAAGAAGGAGGAGGAGGAGGAGGAGGACTGGATGTTTATCACTTGTATGATTCTATCTAGAATAACAATAATAATAATAATAATAATAATAATAATAATAATAATAATAATAAAGCAGGGGCTGGATGGCTATCAATTGGGAGGGCTTAGATTGTACCTCTTCAGTCTGGCTGAAAGAAATGGGTTGGACTGGATGGCCTTTGGGGCTCCCAAATATGCGTTTAGAGAAGGATTTGTCCTCAGATACTTGTCTCATAATGGCTTGAAGAAACTCAGAATTAGAGTCCCAATATAAACTGTTTTCAGGTTCCCATTATTATGGCAAAAGGACACAATGACACAGCTTCTTGACATTCTGGCCCTATTTGTATCCTGCCTCTGAGCTTCGAAATAAATCCTTTGAGCAGGAGAATAGGTGAGATCAGGATTTAGGCCTCATAAAGGAGACTGAATCCAGTGTGTTCTCTCCCAAGAAAGAAAGGCCCCAAGGCAGAAAAGGGATACTTACCAATAGTTGCCCCATTCGATCATGGTTCCGGGCTGAAAGAAAGAAAAGAGAGAAGAATTGATCCCAAAGAAGAGCATGCTTCCTATGGCAAACCTAAATAAGTTTTTTTTTGCCCCACGAAACAAGGAAAGTTGATGTTGAATGTCCCCTTCCTTCTAATTTTAGCACATTTGTTTTTCTATTTTTTCCTAAATTATTATTATTATTATTATTATTATTATTATTATTATTATTATTATCAGCTATATCTAGCTATATAAAGAAGTCATGAAATATATGCTATATCTATACACATATTAATAAAAGTGAAAGGTTTTCAACTGAGGACAATTTCATCCTAGATTTTATGTGTTTCCTCCACCACAGGCATCTCAGTATTTTTGACATTAATATTGAAATCTGAAATATATACAGAAAGTCTAACCCTAACCTTAACCCTAACGCCGTTGGACAGGTATGCTAATAATATAATGTAATGTAATGTAATATACATATAATACTTATAATATTATAATGTAATACAATATAATAATAATAATAATAATAATAATGTAATTATATATTTTATATTACATGTAATATTACTAATAATATTACAATATATTGTCGAAGGCTTTCATGGCTGGAATCACTAGGTTCTTGTAGGTTTTTTCGGGCTATAGGGCCACGTTCTAAACCTCACTACCTCTGAGGATGCTTGCCATAGATGCAGGCGAAACGTCAGGAGAAATGCCTCTAGAACATGGCCCTATAGCCCGAAAAAACCTACAAGACCTTATATTACAATATATTGGTGTAGTACAATACCGTAATATATAATACTGATATTGTACTATGCTAATAAAATATATTGTGTGTGTGTGTGTGTGTGTATATATATATATATATATATATATTGTAAGCTGCTCTGAGTCCCCTTCTGGTGAGAAGGGTGGCATGTAAATGTAAATAAATGAAATAAATAAATAAATCAGGAAGAGGAAAGGGCGGTGCTTACCCGCAGCTGGTAGGATCGGAGTTCGTAGATGTTGGGTCCCTGGCGAGGAACAGGCTCGTTCCAGAAGCTGAACTCCAGGAGAAGCTGGTTCTTGCGGGAGAGGAGCATCCCGTTCCGGGCTTTGCGGAACTCCGTGAAGACCTGCAAGAGCAATGCAGATCGGAGCAAGAGGGCTTCCAAAGCCCACCCTTGCACTGCTTTGGCCTTCTATTATTATTATTATTATTATTATTATTATTATTATTATTATTATTATTGGGAAAAGGGGAATATAAAAGAAAACAAACCTACAGCAACAACCACATCTCACTCTACAGATTGCTATGGTTATAATTATAATTATAATTATTATTATTGAAAATGGGATATAAATGAATAAAAAACCCACAGCAGCAGCTACATCATCAACATATGTCATCAGTTGGGGACCCCTCCCCCCAGCACCAACTACTACTCTGGGCCAGAGTGAAGGGGGGGGGGGCAGGGGATAGTTCCATCTTGTCTCCTGTACTATGCTTATAATATAATATAATATATTTTATATACATATAATATTGATAATATATAATATAATACTAATTATAATATGATATCATAATTATATATTTATATTACATGTTATATTACTAATAATACTACAATATAATGGCATAGTACAATATAGTAATATATAATACTGATATTGTACTATGCTAATAATATAATGTAATATATTGTATGTACATATAACTTGTAAGCCACTCTGAGTCCCCTTCAGGGTGAGAAGGGCGGCATATAAATGTCGCAAATAAATAAATACACCAGGCTCGACAGATTGTTTTGGGCTATTAGTAGTAGTAGTAGTAGTAGTAGTAGTAGTAGTAGTATTTATATGCCACCTTTTCTCTCTGAAAAGAGACTCTTATTTGGGTGTTCACTGGAAAGTGTTGGAGCAGAGGGAGGGGGAGAGAGGGTCTCACCTTGTCGTGCCGGAGCTTATTCATGACCTCCGTCAGGGCCGGGTAGCCTCCTTCGTACCGCCAGAGGTGGACTGGGAAGAGAAAGAGCAGGGGTTTGGAAAGGATATCCTCTGGGACAAACCCTGATGGGAGGATTCTGTTACTTCCTGCCCCCTGTCCCCTTCTCTCTTTTTGAGGTACCCAATTTGCCAGCCCTCAGGCCTGAAGATGGCAAGGAAGAAGGAAGGAAGGAAGGAAGGAAGGAAGGAAGGAAGGAAGGAAGGAAGGAAGGAATGAATACAGAGGGAGGGACGGATGGAGGGAGGGAGAGAGCAAGGAAGGAAGAGGGAAGGAGGAGGAAAGAAGGGAGGAAGAAAGAAGGAAAGAATGGGGGGAGAGGGAGGGGAAGGTAGGGAGGAGGAAGAAAGGGAGGAAAAAAGGGAGGAAGGGAGAGAAGAAGAAAAGGAGGAAGAACGGAGGGGGAGGGAGGGAAGAATAAGGAAGATGGATGGAGAGAGGGAGGGAAGGGCGGAAGGAGAGGAAAGATGGGAAGAGGAAGGGAGGGTAGGAGAAAGCGGGAGGAAGAAAAAGAGGAAGAAGAAAGGAAGGAATGGGGAGAGAGGGAGGGTAAGGGAGGGAGGAAGGAGAAGAAAGGGAGGAAGAAGGGTGGGAGGAAGGAAGGAATAAAGAGGAGRGAGGGAGAAAGGAGAGGAAGAAAAGGAGGAAGAGAGAGAGGAAAAAAGACAGGAGAAAAAGAAAGTTAGGAGGAAGGATGGAAAGAAGAAAGAGGGAGGGAGGAGAAGAAGAAAGGAAGGGAAGAAGGGAAGGGGGAGAAAGAAGGAAGACAGAGGGAGGGAGGAAAGGAAGGAAAAAAGGAACAAAAGAAGGAAGAAAAGGAAGAAGGAAGGAAGGAATAGGATGAGAGGGAGGGGAAGGGAAGGAGGAAAGAAGAATAAAGGGAGGAAGAAGGGAGGGAGGAAGGAAGAGGAAGGGAAGGCAGAAGGAAGGAAATAAGGAAGACGGAGGTAGGGAGGGAGTGAAGGAGGAAGGAGTTCCTCCCTCCCTCCCTCCCTCTGTCTTCCTTATTCTCCCTTGTGTTGGGTACACACGTGGTTGCAAGGATACATAGCCTACCGGCCTGGTCTTGCTCCCCGTACCACGTGTTCCAGGTCCCCACCAGCGTACACGGGTAGTCCTTCCCCTCGTGGATACTCGGCAGCACCTCTTGGCTGGGAAAGGAAGGCAACACGAGCCAGAAAAAGAAGGAAGATAAGCCACTGTTGCAAGCCTCCATCAATCCTAGAGAGAATGGGGGGAGTGCTGCCAGCATTGGGCTGGAGTTATAAATGCTTGGTTGGCAATATTATCTTATATACGATGGTGCAGTGACGTCAAACCCAAGAGGATAGCATAATGGGAATGCTTTCCCACCTGCCATAAGCAATTGTTGCGAGCCTCCTCCCCTAAACCCAGAGAGAAGGTGGGGAGTACTTCCAACAATGGGATGGAGTTTTAGGTCATGAGAGGGCTGTGTTGATATGGCTGACCTTTTGAAGGCAATCCACACACGTGGCTGAGATCTGGGCTATTTGATCCCCACCCTGTCTAGATGTCCTTAAGGACGCCTCTTCTCCAAAGCTATCCCTGGGGAAGCTGGGACTCCTCCCGAATCGTGTGGATTTATGACAATCCCATGGTTTTTGTAGGGTTGTCTCACTGTTTTTGTCAGTCCCCTGAAAGTAAGCCTACTGCACCGCATTGGCAATCACTGCGTTTACGCACTAAATTTCCCTAAAGATGGGTGGACTCACCACAGGTTGTTGTAGGCTTCGAGGCATTCTGGCTTGACGCTGTGAACTGAAAGAGAGGATGCCAGTGTCAAAAGGTGGCTCAAAATATGGAAATACAGTAAGAAGGGGAGAAGAAACAGGTCAGTATAAGCTCGGCTCTTCCTTTCTGTCCTTATTTTAGAATGGAAGACTTTGAAGGACTCTCAGGCTTCATCCACACTGCCATATAAGACACCTTTATCATGCAGTTTAACTTCTTAAGTATTTATTTATTTAGTATATTTGTATACCGCCCCTCTCAGCCTTCCAGCGACTCGAGGCGGTTTACACGGCAAAATTCAATGCCACCAAGAACACAATTACAATATAAAACATCATCATCAATAAAATCATAACACTGTAATAAAACATAATTCAATAAATACTCATTAAAACAATGTCCAGTCCTGTCATATAGTTGTTCCGTTCTTTTGTCCGTTACTCAGTATTTGCAAATGCCTGCTCAAATAGCCATGTCTTAAGATTCTTCTGAAATGCTAGGAGTGACAAAGCCGATCTGATCTCCCTAGGAAGGGCGTTCCATAGCTGAGGGGCCACCACTGAGAAGGCCCTGTCTCTCGTCCCCGCCAGCCGTGTTTGTGATGATGGCGGGACCAAGAGCAGGGCCTCTCCAGACAATCTTAAAGTCCTCAAAGGTTCATAAGGGGAGATTCGTTCAGACAGGTAAGTTGGGCCAGAACTACCATATGGCAACTGAGATGGGACATATGTGCTGCGTTGTGTTCTGTATTGCTTCCAAGATCATTGTGGAAGTGATGGTTTTAAAATATGTTTAATGCTGTTTTATTGCTGACTTTTCCTACCTGGCAGGAGGGGGTTGGACTGGGTGGCCCCTGGGGACACTCCTAACTCTTCTGAATCTAATACAGAAGAGTCTTGCTTATCCAACCTTTGCTCATCCAACGTTTCGTATTATCCAACATAGTCTGCCTCCCGCCCGGATCCACAGCTGTTTCAATACATTGCAATGTTTTGGTGCTCTATTCGTAAATACAGTAATTACTACAGAAAGTTAATAATAATAACAATAATAATAATATAATAGTAACAGTAATGATAATAATATAGTAATTCTATCTTTCTGCTTGACAGAAGGGGCTTGGAAATAATAATAATATAGTAATTTTATCTTCCTGCTTGGCAAAAGGGGCTTGAACATCGTAATAACAATAGTAGTAGTAGTAGTAGTAATAGTAATAATAATAATAATATAGTAATTTTATCTTCCTGCTTGGCAAAAGGGGCTTGAACATCATAATGACAGTAGTAGTAGTAGTAGTAGTAGTAGTAGTAATAGTAATAATAATAATATAGTAATTTTATCTTCCTGCTTGGCAAAAGGGGCTTGAACATCATAATGACAATAGTAGTAGTAGTAATAGTAATCATAATATAGTAATTTTATCTTCCTGCTTGGCAGAAGAGGGTTAGATTAAATAATAATAATAATCATCATCATCATCAGAAATGGGGCTACAAAGTGGAATCCACAACATGCGAGTGTGGAGAAGTGCAAACTATAGACCACCTGCTGCAATGCAACCTGAGCCCTGCTACATGCACAATGGAGGACCTTCTTGCAGCAACACCAGAAGCACTCCAAGTGGCCAGATACTGGCCAAAGGACATTTAATCAACTACCAAGCTTGTAAACTCTGCGTCTTTTGTATGTTTTTTTGTTCTGTCAAAAATGTAATACAACTGTTCGGTTGCCTAACACGATAAATAAATCATCATCATCATCTATATAAATATAAATGTAATGTTCGTTTGTGAGATTAACTAACTCAAAAACCACTGGACGAATTGACATGAAATTTGGACACAATACACCTAACAGTCCAATGAGTGTCCATCACCCATAAACACACGTGCGCACGCACACACACACACACACACACACACACACACAAAACCCCAGCAGAACATATTTAAAAACCCAAAAGACACACCATATATACATATACACATACACTCATATACATATGCACATGCTATATATATGCACAAACACACAACTACATACATACATATACATACATACATATACACATGCACACAGATATCCACATAAATATGCATATAGACAAGCACACACATATACACAATATGCATCTACACATATAAACACACAAATATACACACACATATATATACACACACATATATACACTCAATGCACAAACACACATATATACACAAATACACACACACACATATATAAACACACTAAACACATGTACACAGACTGGGCCACAGCAATGGGTGGCAGGGGACAGCTAGTAATATAATATAGTACTTCTATCTTCTTGCTTGGCAGAAGGGGCTTGAACGTAATAATATTCATACAATAATAATAACAATAATAATAATATAGTAATTCTATCTTCCTGCTTGGCAGATGGGGGGTTGGACTGTATAACAATAACAACAGCAGCAGCAGCAAAAACAACAACAAAACAGTAATTCTATCTTTTTGTTTGGCAGAAGGGGGTTAGACTGAATAATAATAATGGCAATAGTAATATAATACTTCTATCTTCTTGCTTGGCAGAAGGGGCTTAAACATAATAATGCGAATATAATAATAATAGTAATAATAATAGTATAATAATTCTATCTTCCTGCTTGGCAGATGGGGTTTGGGCTGTAAAACAATAACAACAGCAATAGCGGCAACAACAATAACACAGTAATTCTATCTTCCTGCTTGGCAGAAAGGGGCTGGAATGGGTAACAACAACAACAACACGACAACATAGCAATTCTATCTTACTGCTTGGCAGAAGGGGCTTAGAAATAATAATAACAATAATAACACTAACAATAATATAGCAATTCTATCTTCCTTTTGGAAGAAGGGTTGGACTGAATAATAGTGAAGATGATAGAGGGCCACTCACACTGTATTTTGTAGAGGCTGCTGGTCTCCCGTTTGGCTAAGAGGTTGGAGTGGGCGTCCTTTCGGGGGTCCACTTTGCGGACAAAGAGTGACTTCAGCCAACTGTCTTCTGCGGGTCGGCTTTGTGAAGAGACCAGGCCCCTGAAACAACAAGAAATGAAAGGTACGGTTAAAAAGGAGACATGCAACGGAGCAAGAGGACAGTTTCATGTTGGGAAACCCTACAAATGCTGCAGTTCCTTCCACTGTGGAAGCGACATATTTGTGGGAAAGCCGGGACATGTCTGCATAGTGATGGTTAGAAATGCAATGAAAAGGTGGGCACTTTCTACCATATGTGGTGGGCATGTAAAAAGACATTGTGAAATTTGAAAATGAAACCTGAACTCTATCTGCTTTGGATGTTAGATGATCAACTCGACAGAAAATGCAGGTGGTTATTGCTATATATGACAATGGTAGCAAGACTCAACAATTCCATTGGCAGATTAAAAGGGCTAGGGGCTATATGTGTGTGAGATAAATAAACATAATAGTAGTAATAATAATAATAATAATAATATATTATTATTATTATTACTATTCTATACTAGAATATATTAATAATATAGTTATTGTATATTAATAATACAGCATAATATATTATTATTAATAATAAGGTAGTGAGAATGGGGATATGGGGCTTGAGGGTATTGTTTTACAGTGGCTCTGGTCCTTTCTAGGCAGTTGGTCTCAGAAGGTGTTGTTGGGGATCACCTGTTCAGCTGCACAGCCATTGTCCTGTGGGGTCCTGCAGGGTTCAGTACTGTCCCCCATGTAGTTTGTCAGGTGGTGCAATACCGGCTAAACAAACAGTATATTTTTTTCCTTTGGTGTGGGGCACAGACATCCTGTGATAATGTGGCATGTCCCATTAAGAGCCATGTCCACTGTTTTAACGTGCTGAGATGTGTTCCGCATTGGGCATGCGTATTCAGCAGCAAAGCGCAAGGTCAAATGTCTTCACTGTGTCTGGTTGTGATCCCTAGGTTGTGCCAGTCAGCTTCCGTATGATATTAACAATATCATATTATGTAAAGAATGGATGTTTGAATGTATATAGAAGGGCAGAAGAAACAGGCCTAAAGGAAAACCAACATGGAGTTCTCACAAGGCATGATATGGATTGGACTTGGCAGTCGAAGCGAGGAGGCAGCAAGGCATAGCTGAACAACAATGGACAATAAGGTGTGCGACCGAGCATGTAAGGAGTGTGCAGGTGTACCCCATAAGTTATGTGGCCTAGTATGTGAATGTCCTGAACTTGAAAAGAACAAGGACTTGAAAGGGACAAAACAGCCTGATTACTAAAAGAAGAAAAATAGATATTGGCCTATAAATGCAGGGGACCCCAAGAACATGCACACTTCCTGATCCATGGCAATGGAGCATCCACACCTCCTCGGAAAAGACTGATCATCTTCGCTGGAGGAGGCCTGTGTGTGTGCAAGTATGTTTGAATGTGTGTGTGTCCATGAGAGCTCTCTCTTGATGCGATTCTGTAATGATTGTATTTCAATAAATGTTACATGAATAATGTTAAAGCCAAATTTGGTCTCTAAAGTATCTCATTAGTCTAAACTACCTTACTATTCCTTAAACACTGCACAAAAGAACAGGAACTTTTTTGGGTTCATAACACTATAATAATAACAATATAGTATAATGTATATTATTAATAACAATAGGGTAGAGAGAATGCAGGGCTGTATGTGTGTGAGAGATATACATAAATGTGTCTATATTAATACTATTTTATTAATAATATAGTTATATATTATTAATAATATAGTATAATATATGTTAATAATAATAAGGTAGTGAGAATGCAGGGAGGTATGTGTGTGAGAGATATACATAAATGTGTCTATATTAATACTATTTTATTAATGATATCATTATATATGTGTGTGTGTTAATATTAAGATAGGAGAATGCAGGGCTGTATGTGTGTGAGCTATACATAAATGTGTCTGTATTAATATTATATTATTAATAATATCATTATTACAGATATATTATTAATAATAGTAATATAGTATGATATATGATAATAATAATAAGGTAGTGAGAATGCAGGGCTGTATGTGTGTGAGAGATATACATAAATGTGTCTGTATTAATACTATTTTATTAATGATATCATTATATATGTGTGTGTGTTAATATTAAGATAGGAGAATGCAGGGCTGTATGTGTGTGAGCTATACATAAATGTGTCTGTATTAATATTATATTATTAATAATATCATTATTACAGATATATTATTAATAACAGTAATATAGTATAATATATGATAATAATATTAAGGTAGTGAGAATGCAGGGCTGTATGTATGTGAGAGATATACATAAATGTGTCTGTATTAATACTATATTATCAATAATATCATTATTATATAGATATATATATTATTGTTATAGTATATGTTAATAATATTAAGGAAGTGAGAATGCAGGGCTGTATATGTGTGAGAGATATACATAAATGTGTCTATATTAATACCATTTTATTAATAATATCGTTATTATATCTATTCTTAATAATATTGTATGATATGTTAATAATATTGAGATAGAACGCAGGGCTGTATGTGTGAGAGATATTCATAAATGTGTCTATATTAATATCAAAGCATAATATATGCATAATGTATACTAATATAGCGTTACACTGTATTCCCACTCATACCAATGGGTAGCCCTAGCCCGCTGCCTCTGGCTGTCCTTCTCCCCCTCCAATGAAGCCAAGGTGGGACCACGTGACCACAGGCTGACCTTGAGAGAGAGCGCATGCGCAGAAGGTGCCAAACGCCGCCTCCTTACCTCCCTCTCTTTATCATTATCATGATTGTTGTTATTGTCGCTGCTTTACTTATTTACCTGAGGAAAAGCAAGCGGAGGGGGCCCGGGAAAGGCGGGGAGCAGCCCCCCCGCCTCGCCAGCCGCAGCGCCCCGGACGCCGCCATCTTGGAAGCTTCCCTCAGCTTGTGAGGCGGGTGCGCATGCGCGGGGGGAGACCCAGGAGGGGCTGGCAGGACTACAGCTCCCGGCGTGCCCCGCGGGCCCAGCTACGGCGGCTCAAGCGGCTCCACAGCTGCATTTGTCTCCATTCATTCATTCCTTCATTGGATAGAATCCTAGAGTTGGAAGAGACCTCCTGGGCCATCCAGTCCAAACCCATTCTGCCAAGAAGCAGGAATATTGCATTCAAAGCACCCCTGACAGATGGTCATCCAGTCTCTGTTTCAAAGCTTCCAAAGAAGGAGCCTTCACCACATTCCGGGGCAGAGAGTTCCACTGCTGAACGGCTCTCCCAGTCAGGAAGTTGGAGCTTTCTTGCTCAATTGGACACAGGTCCAAGGGGATTGAAATAATAATAAATGGGAATAATGTGGAAGCTAAGAAGAGAAAGGAAAGGGGGAATTTATGACGGGAGAAAGGAAAGAAAGAGAAAGAAAGAAAGAGAAAGGGAGGGGGAGAATCAAGAGAAAAGAAAGGGGAAAGGAAGGAAAGAAATGGGAAAAGAAGAGAAGGAAGAGAAAAGGAAGAGAAAGAAAGGAGAAAAAGAAGGAAAGGAGGGAGGAAGAAAGGGAAAAGGATGTGAAATAAGAAGTGAAAGGAAAAGGTATGACGGAAGAAAGAGAAAGGAAAAGAAGGGAAGGCAGGAAAGGAGGGAGAGGAGAAGGAAGAGAAAAAAGAAAGGGAAAGGAAGGGAAGGAAGAGAAGGGAAGGAAGAGAGAAAGGGAAGGAAAGAGAAAGAAAGGGGGAAAAAGGAGGGGGAGGAAGAATGGGAAAAGGATGCGAAGAAAGGAGAGAAAGGGAAAGGGAAAAGGTATGACGGAAGAAAGGAAAAGAAGGGGAGGCAGGAAAGGAGGGAGAGAGAAGAGAAGAGAAAAGGAAAGAGGAAAGGAAGAAAGAAAGAAGGGAAAAGAAGGGAAGGAAGAGAGAACAGGAAGGGAAGAGAAAAAAGAAAGAAAAAAAGGAGTATGAGAGGAAAGCAATTATTACTTACTAGCTGTCCCCTGCCATGTGTTGCTGTGCCTCAGTCTGTGTGTGTGTGTATATATGCATATATGTGTGTGTATATTTGTGTATATATGTGGTTTTGCACATGCCTTGTAATGTAATTTTTGTTTTTTGGCTTTTTAAGTCTCTTCCGCTGTGTTTTTCAGTGTTTATATGAGTGATGGTCACTCCTTGGCCTGGTAGGTGTCTTGTGTCCAAATTTGGTGTCAATTCGTCCAGTGGTTTTTGAGTTATGTTAATTCCACAAACGAACGTTACATTTTTATTTATATAGACTAGCCATCCCCTGCCACGCGTTGGTGTGGCCCAATCTGTGTATATGTGTGCTTTATGTGTATATTTGTGTATATTGTGATTTTATATTTTTTAATTATTTTCATTATATTATATTAATGTATTATTTTATGCTGTATATTTGCTTTATTGTGATTGTTGGACTTGGCCTCATGTAAGCTGGCCTGAGTCCTCTTGGGGAGATGGTGGTGGGGTATAAATAAAGTTTTATTTATTTATTGTATGTGTATATATGTTTGTGTGTGTATATATTTGTATATATGTGTGATTGTGTGAGTATATGGTGTTGTGCATGCCTTGTAATGTATTTTTATATATTTTGGGGCTTTTTAAGTCCCTTCTGTTGTGTTTTTTTAGTATTTTTATGAGTGATGGTCACTCGTTGGCCTGACTGGTGCATTATGCTCAAATTTGGTGTCAATTCGTCCAGTGGTTTTTGAATTATGTTAAACCCACATACGAACATTACATTTTTATTTATATAAATTGTTTACGTTCTCACTTAATTCATTTTGTCTTGATGTTTTTTTTATATTAATTGTTATATATTTGGCTATTCTTATTTGATGCGGGTCTATTTTTACTTATTTAGTGTTTCGATGTATAGTGAAATCTCAGAGATGTTCCAATCACAGCCAATCACAGCGGAGGAGGGCTTTTGGTGGGAGGATTCGCCGTCTGTTTCCAAAAAGGAAGAGAAGAACAGGCAGAGATCTTCAACCTTCTCTCCTAAAGGGATTCCTCAGACCATCAGAACTATATGACGGTGTTTGCTGACCCCTCCAAAACCCCCTTGTGACCCCCACAGGGGTTCCGACCCCTAGGTTAAGAAACACTGGGTAAAAGAAACCCTTGACAACGTGGATTCCCAATAAACCAGACCTGGGCAGAAATGGGTTTGGGTTTATTGTCCATCACAGAAAACGACCAGGGAAGCCTCTGCTCACTTGTCCGTGGGGGGACCGAGAGCCAGGTCGCGCAGCTTCTGGCTGAGGCAGGAAGCGTCTCTCTGGGTGAGGTTCTCGGGGCCGTCTTGGAGCCCCTCCTCGGCCCGCCGGGTCCCCGCGCAGGGCTGGCCTGTCACAGGGTCCACCACCCGGCCCACCTTGAAGACAATTTCGGCCAGGGCGTGCTTGACATGCCGGCTGCGGCGCTCGGGGAGGGCCTTCAGCAGCACAATGTCCCCCTCCGTGCAGCGCTGCTCCGGGTCGTGCGCAAAGTAGGTCTTGCGCTTGTTGTAGAACTAGAGGAGGAGGAGGGAGAGAAGGCAAAGATCTTTGCTCATATTCAGTCATATATATTACAATTGTCAGTCCATGGCTGTATTACTTTCCTCCATCTTGACACTGGACTCTAATGGGGGAAGCCTAGAATCGCACTGGCCTTTTCCGCTGTCACATCACATTCTTGGCTCACATTCAGCTTGTGGTCCACAAAGAACCCTAAATTTATAATATTATAATGTAATACAATATAATACTACTAATAATAATGATGAGAGACTCCCCCCTGGGCACACAGAAGACTGGGCGACTTGGAAGGCGCTGAACAGACTGCGCTCTGGCACCACGAGATGCAGAGCCAATCTTAAGAAATGGGGCTACAGGGTGGAATCCACGGCATGCGAGTGCGGAGAAGAGCAAACCACTGACCACCTGCTGCAATGCAACCTGAGCCCTGCCACATGCACGATGGAGGACCTTCTTACAGCAACACCAGAGGCACTCCAAGTGGCCAGATACTGGTCAAAGGACATTTAATCAGCTACCATGTTTGCAAAATTTGTGTGTTTTTTTTTATCTGTTTGTTTGTATTGTTCTGTTAGAAATGTAATACAATGTTCTGGTTGCAGATGACACGATAAATAAATAAATAATATATTTTATATTGCATGTAATATTACTAATAATATTGCAATATAATGGTATAGTACAATATTGTACTATGCTAATAATATAATATTATATATTGTATGTATATATATATATCTTGAAAGCCACTCTGAGTCCCCTTTGGGGTGAGAAGGCGGCGTATAAGTGTTGTAAATAAATAAATAAATCCCTTTCATTTTCTCATATCTATATCTATACAGTGTTCCCTCGCTACTTCGCAGTTCGCTTTTACCAGACTCGCAGTTTCAGTTTTTAAAAAATATTAATTTAAAATATATATTGCGGTATTTTCACTGTTTTGCTGGGCCACGTTTGGCACGCAGAACCCACATGATCAGGTTTGGGGGAACTGACCTTGATTTATAGGAATTGTAGTTTTCCTAGATCAGAGAACAGTGAACCCAGCCAACGACGCATCTGGACCAACCTTGGCACACAGACCCAATATGGGCAACTGTGAATACTGGCAGGGTTTGGGGATAATTGTCCTGGGAATCTGGGAGTTGTAGTTCAACCTTATCCAGAGAACAATGAACCCAGCTGACCAAACTGATATTACCAAACTTTGAAAAACAAACAATGCCTTTCTCAAAGCCGGGTCCCCAAGTTTATATATCTATACACACACACATACAATAGCCGTCCCCTGACACATGTTGCTGTGACCCAGTCTGTGTATATGTGTTTTGTGTGTATATGTATGTTTGCGTATATATGTGGTTTTGTGCATGCGTTGTAATGTTGTTGTTTTTTTGGCTTTTTAAATCTCTTCTGATGTGTTTTTCAGTGTTTATATGAGTGATGGTCACTTGTTGGCCTGAGAGGTGTCTTGTGTCCAAATTTGGTGTCCAAATTTGGCACCACGCTCTTGGCTCATGTTCAGTCATATATATTATGATGGTCAATCCATGGCTATAATACTTTTCTCCATATTGACACTAGATTCCAATGGATGCAGCCTAGGGTTGCATTGGCCTTTTTAGCTGCTGCATCGCACTCTTGGCTCATGTTCAGACATATATTTTACTATAGTCAAACCATGGCTATTCTACTTTCCTCCATCTGGACATTAGACTCCCATGGATGCAGCCCAGGACCAGACTGGCCTTGGCTAACACTCTTAGATCCTTTCCAAGTCCAGTGCCCTACGTTCTGGGAGAAAAGCAGGCTACAGACAGACAATATTGCATGATTCCCAGATCAATACCTTAAGCAAATAGGGGTCCAGCACCAGTCGTGTGACGCGCACTTTTGCCGTCTTTTGCATCTTGGTCCCGATGACTTTCCCGATGATCCATTTGGCGTGGACAGCGCCGCGCAAGGCTGACATGGCACCAGGCAACACCCTGCAGAGCAAAAACAGGCCTTTCATTGATTCAACTCATAATAATAATATAGTGATGCAATTAGCATGCCCTTTCACTCCTGCAAAGGGGGCTGACGGTATGAAATCCCTCCATATACAAGTCAAAGTATGTTTGTCCGTTGGTTTGAACCACTAAGGCTGTTATTTGGCTTGATGGATCTGACCCAAACTTGGCCCACAAGCCTGTCATGATCCAAATTAAGGGAATTGAGAGATTTGGATTAAAAGAACTACCCCTTTTGGGCCCAGATCAAAGGGCAAGGGAAGGAAGCGGATTGGCTGTGGCGAATGGAAGGTAGGTAAAGTAGTCCTCTGTGATATCACTGGGAAAGGAAGAGCCAAACAAGTTGGCTGCTGGTATATGACAGGGAGGAAAAGGGAAGAGAAAAGAAGGGAAATGGAAGGAGGAAGGGATAGAAAGAAAGGAGAAAAAGAAAGGGAGGGAAGAAAAGGATGGAAGGTAAGAGAAAGGAAAAGGGGAATGGTATGACAGGAGAAAACAACACTAGAAAGAAGAACGGGAAAGAGGGGAAAAAGGAGGATGGAAGAGAGGGAGGGAGAAGGAAGAGAAAAGAAAGGGGAAAGGAAAGGAAGAGAAGGGGAAAGAAGAAATAAAAGGAAGGGAAGAGAAAGGAAAGAAGAGGGGAAGTAAGGAAAGAAGGAAAGGAAGAGAGAGAAAGAAAGAAGAGGGGGAGGGAAAGAGAAAGGGAAAAGGATAGGTTAAAAAAAGGAAAGAAAGGGGGAAAGATATGACAAGAGAAGGGAAAGAAAGAGGAATGACAGCAGAAGGGGGCAAGTATTTGAGGGAAAGCAAGGAAAGAGGAAATAAAGGAAGGAAAGGAAGAAGGAAGAGAAGAAAGGGGAGAGGAAGAAAGAAAGATGACAGAAAGAAAGTAAATGGAAGGAGGGAGGGGAAGGAGTATGAGAAAACGCAAGGGAAGAAGGAAAGGAAGAGAAAGGAGAAAAAATAGGGAGGGAGGATGAAAAGGACAGAGGTAAGAAGAGAACGGCATTCCATTGACCACATGACCTAGGAGGTGTCTACGGACAACATTGGCTCTTTTGCTTGGAAATGGAGATGAGCACCAGAGTCCCAGAGTCAGACACAACTGGACTTAATGTCAGGGGAAAACCTTTACCTTTATCTAAGAAGAGAAAGGAAAGGTATGACGGGAGGAAGGAAAGAAAGATTAAGAAAGAAAGAAAAAGAAGGGAAGAAAAAGGAACGAAAGCAAAAGGGGGAAAGTGTATGAGGAAAAGCAAGGGAAGAGAAAAGAAAGGAAAGAAAGAGGGGAAGTAAGAAGAAAGAGGGAGCTAAGGGAAAAATGAAAAACAAGAGAAAAGAAGGAGAGGCAGATAAGAGGAAGGAATGAAAGTAAGAGAAGAAAAAGAAAAGAAGACGAAAGGAGGGGGATGAAAGAAAAAAGCAAAAGAAAGGAAGAAGAGAGGGCAGGAGTATGAGGGAAAGCAAGGGAAGGAGCTAAAGAAAGAAAGGGAAGTAAAAGAAAAAGGGAAAGGACTGGAAGGAAAGAAAGGAGAAAAAGAGAAAGGAAGGAAGGAAAGAAGAAAAAAGAAAAGAAAGGAGAAGGGGAAAGAGGAAAATGAAAGACAAAATGAAAATAAATTTAAAATGAACAACAGCATACAAAACAATTATAAAGTAAGAATAGACTTTGGATAATGCTGTTTATTATTCAATTTATATATATATTATTGCTTTTTAAGATGAAATCAAAAAAAGGTGGTAGCTTAAAAGTTACAATTGCTCATGGAAATGTTTTATTATTTATTTAAGATAATTAATTAAAGAATTCTTATAAGGAGATGTTAGCAATTTAATTAAATTAAATATTAAAATATGTTTAAATTAAATAATATATGAGAATTTTTAAATTTTATTAATTTAAATCTGTCATCTCTATCTCTAGGGATTATGTTTTACAAAGGGGTTGTTTCTTTTGAAATGTCCTCCCAAGCTAATAATATTTGGAGAATTTTTATATTATTATTAAGATAGAAGAAGAGGAATGATGACAGAATTATTATGATGTATCTAATTTAATTCAGTGAAATTCACTTTCAAGTTGGTCTATTAAATAATTGTAAATATAAAAAAGGAAATAAAATAAATAACTGAATGTAAATAAGTAATATTGTAATCATTTAAAAGATTCATTCTTCAAATTGATTGTGGAATTTCCAAGGAGTTTCAGAGGGCAGGAATAATATTTTTAAATTGTTTTATTGATATGGTTTAATATAAATAAATTATACAATAACATGAGTATTATTTAAATCATTTAATTAAATTTTGAAGACAATTCAGGAATTATTCTGCGTGGAAAATGTACAATTTTTATTATTTAAATTTATAAATATACTGTAAAATTAATTACTTACTATATGGATTAATAGTTGAACTACTTAATTTATTTAGACATAATTTGAAAAAATAGAATTAAGAAGGGGAAATGTTTATTGATTTATTTAATATATAATAAATTTAATATTACATGAAGTTTTACTTATTAAATTATACAATGTATCCAGCAGCAAATTAGAAATATTTAATATAAGTAAATAATGAGACAAACTGGCTTTTATATATTTAAGTCTATATGTATTAACCCCATATTAATTAATTTTTAAATTAAATTATAATATTTTTAAATTTTCAAGATAGTAAAAGATATAATTATTATAATGTAACATCAAGAACACATAATACATTAAATATTATTATGTGAAAGCAATTTAATTAATAATTATTAATAAATTAATATTAAATACAGTTTCATAGAAAATGTTCTGGTTCATTTTAAGTTTTAAAATTTTTATTTTTTAACTTATTATAAATATAATTTTCATTAATTAATCTATTTATTAATTTAATATATATAATTATAAATTAAATTAATAATATTTTTAAATTTTATTATTTATTTAATATATAATCTTTTCTCCAAACAAAGCAACATACATTAGTTGTAAAGTTAATGTAATATTAGTTTATAATTATTAATGAAAGAAAAATATGAGAAGAGAAAGGAAAGGAAGAAAGGGAAGAACAAAGAGGGAAGGAAGAGAAAGAAAGAAATCAAGGAGAACAATAAGAAACACATTGAAGTAAGCAGGTAAACAACAGCCTGGGGCCCTCCTCTCCCTTGGAAACCCCTTCCAACGTCTCCTTACTGGGTCTTGGGCCTGGAAAACGGAAGCCGGGGACAGGAAGAGGCGGGGCCTGAGCCGGGGAAAGAGCTTCCTGAGTGCCGAAAGGCCTCTCTAGGAAGGACGCCGGTGCCGCTTCTCCAAGGCTCCTGTAGCTATCTCCGGCGTGGCTCAGCAGTTAAAGGCGCCGCTTCGGGGAGAAGGAGGCCCCGGGTTCGAAGCCGCAGGAAGTCACTTGAGTAGCCAATACATAGTAAACAAAATACATTTCCCTCTCATATGTATCTATGTGTGTGCCTTTGAGGTCCCTTCCAACTCTAGGGTCCTATATGTCTATAAACAGAGGCTGGCTGGCCATCTATTGGGAGGGATCGGATAGACCGAATGTTTTTTCTCTCCAGCAGTTGGTCCAGTTTTCCAATGATTTGGGTTTGTTTCTGAATCCAAGCAGCTTTCCTTTCTCTCTTCTGCCCCAGTCCAGTCCAGCAACATCTATCTCTGAAGATCCTTTATTTAAAGGGACAGGAGACCATTTCTTTTGGGTGCTTTTTCCCTTTTAGAAAAGGATACTGTCTGAAAAAGCATCAGAGTTTGATATTATATAAGTGTATATATATTGTGTGTATATTTATGTGTGTGTGTATGTTTTTTAACCTGTACCAATCACTGGCCCGGCCCTGGTTTTTATTGTGTAATGATGTAATGTTTTGTTATTGCTTATGTTTTTAATTTGCTTTAAATTGTATTGTTATTGTATTGTCGAAGGCTTTCATGGCTGGAATCACTCAGTTCTTGTGGGTTTTTTCAGGCTATATGGCCATGTTCTAGAGGCATTTCTCCTGCCATAGATGCAGGCGAAACGTCAGGAGAAATGCCTCTAGAACATGGCCATATAGCCCAAAAAAACCCACAAGAACTGAGTGTATTGTTATTGTTTTGCTGTTGTTGTGTTGAGGCCTTGGCCTTTGTAAGCCGCATCGAGTCCTGCGGGAGATGCTAGCGGGATACAAATAAAGTTTAATAATAATAATAATGCATATATATACACATACATATGTATATAAAAGGTTAAGTCCAGTAGTGTCCAACTCTGGGGGTTGGTGCTCATCTCCATTTCTAAGCTGAAGAGCCGGCGTTGTCCATAGACATCTCCAAGGTCATGTGTCTGGCATGACTGCATGGAGCGCCATTACCTTCCCGCTGGAGCGGTACGTATTGATCTACTCACATTTGGATGTTTCGAACTGCTAGGTTGGCAGAAGCTGGGGCTGACTGTGGAAGCTCACGCCGCTCCCCAGATTCGAACCTGTGACCTTTTGGTCAACAAGCTCAGCAACGCAGTGCTTTAACCCACTGTGGCACTGGGGGCTCCTACATATGCATATACATATATACATACATATAGATAGATGTGTGTATACATATATAGATATGTGTGTATACATGTGTGTATATATATATAGAAAGAACAGAAATAAATGTATGTATTGACCAGAATAAATAAATATATTTATTGAACAGGAAAAAATAAATATATTTATTGAGGCAAAAATTTCCAGGAGAGATCCGTGGCAAAATAATGGCAATCATCAATGCGAATTCAAAGAAGACAGACGAGTCTCCCAATTAAGATTTGTTTATGGCATTTCATCCGTACAAAACCAGCAAAGGAAACATAGATTTATACCTTTATACCTATATATTTATATTATCTTAGTGTCTTTGAATCTAATATTCAGACAAATTAAAAAAAATAAGCAGGAACCCCCACCAAAAACAATCCCTTTCTTGTGCTTTGGAAATGCAAACCCTTTTGTTTTTTTATTTCCTTTGGATCACCATGGGCTTTGCCGCTGTGGCATCGCACTCTTTGCTCTCATTCCCCCAAAAACGTTCCTATGAAAAGCCAACTAAATAATAATCATGTAATTAATGTCCCATTAAACAGGGAGCAAATTTCAAGGCTTTAGAAGAAGGGGATCAATGCCCCAAGAGTACAATGTGAGATACACACACACACAGATATAATATATATGCATTTGATTTAGGTCTTTGTAGATGCTTTCATCCCCAAAAGGCCTTATAGGTTTTATCCTATTGAAGACTTCCATTTAAGGACAGGCTCAAAGCCGTAAGAGCCAGATATATGTATGTGTGTATGTATATGTATACACATACATTTATACTGTGTCTGCATATCTCTCACCATAGATAGATAGAGAGATACACAGACAGACACTGAACTCTTAGGGCTTTATATAGGTTTTCGTCCCAATAGGGCTTTAAAAGGTTCAAAGCCTTAGCCAAAAGTTTATATGCCTATATGTTTATACACACACACATACAGATATTTATTTTATTTATGACATTTGTATACCGCCCTTCTCACCCTGAAGGGTGAGATGTGTGTGTGTGTGTGTATGTATGTATGTATATATATGACATTGGACTCTTAACGCACTGACCCCTCCTCTATATATGTGTATGTGTGTGTGTGTGTGTGTGTGTATATATATATATATATGTATGTGCAATATGTATCTCCCCCCCTCTCTCTATATATATACTGTATATATATTACATGTAACCCACCCACTGTCATTGTGATTGTGTTATTGTAATTTTATATCGTTACTTATTCACATGTTTTATGTAATTATGATGTTGTGCTTTGTTTGCGTTTTCGGTCTTATTTTATTGTAATTTTGTTGTTTGGGCTTGGCCTCATGTAAGCCGCTCTGAGTCCCCATTGGAGAGAGGGTGGCGGGGTATAAATAAAGATTATTATTATTATTTATATATACATTGTATATAATATTCCAGTGTCTATATGTCTTTTTCCCTCTCTCTCTATATATATATATACAGACATTGGGCTCTTAGGGTTTTCTAGATGCTTTCATCCCTATAGGGCAGCGGTTCTCAACCTGTGGGTCCCCAGGTGCTTTGGTCTACAACTCCCAGAAATCCCAGACATTTTGCCAGCTGTTAGGATTTATGGGAGTTGAAGGCCAAAACATCTGGGGACCCACAGGTTGAGAACCACTGCTATAGGGCTTTATAGGTTTCCTCCGCTTCCGGACACTCCTCCTTGGCCCTTCCTTCCCAGAGGCAAACCCCAACCCAGCCCAGCCCCATAAGAGTGCATTACATTCTGATTCCTTTTAATGGGCTCCCATACGTTGCTGATGGGGTCCGTCCTCTTAAAGGGCCTCGTCGCCTTCCTCCACATCCTTGAGGCTGAGCACCTCCAGCGTCCCCTGGCCCTTCGTCTCACGGCGCAACAGCTCATCCAGCTCCCGAAAGCAGCCCGGGTCCACCAGGCAGACCTGAGGAAGGGAAGTAATATCAACAACAATGGGAAGGGTTCCCCAGAGGGCACCTAGTCCAGCCCCATCCCTCCAGGGAAGGATACCATCCTGGCAAAGGGCCACCCAGCCTCATAATAACAATGACAATAGGAAGTGGCCCCAAGAGGACATCTAGTCCGGCCCTGTCCCTCCACGGAAGGATGCCATCTGATCTCTCCCAACAGAGGGCCATCCAGCCTCTGCATAATAATAATAATAATAATAATAATAATAATAATAATAATAATAATAATAGATGGATAGAGTCTAAAGGCCATCCGGTCCAATTCCAGAAAGGACGGCACCATCTCATTACTCCCAACAGAGGAAAACCCAGCTCCTGCTTAATAATAATAATAATAATAATGATAGGAAGGGCATCTAGTCCAGCCCCGTTCCTCCAGGAAGGACGCCACCCGATCCCTTCCAACAGAGGGCCACCCAGCCTCTGCTTAATACTACTTCTACTAATAATAATAGAATGATAGAGTCAACAACAATCGCTTCTCGGCCTTTTGGCTAAGATCAAGTGTAGAATGATAGAGTCTAACGACCATCTAGTTCAATTCCAGAAAGGACGGCATCATCCAATCCCGCCCAACAAAAGGGCACCCAGCATCTGCTTAATAACAATAGGAAGGCAGGAAGACAGAAATGCTATTGTTATGTATTATTGTTATTATTGAAAGGGACCCAAGGGTCATCCAGTCCAATCCCTTCTATCAGGAAGACACAATCATATCCCTCCTGACAGTTGGCCATCCAACCTCTGCTTAAGAAGAAGACAGGAAGACAGAATTGCTATTATATTATCTATCATTAATAATAATAATAATAATAATACTCATAGAATTAGAAGGGATCCCCAAGGGCCATCCAGCTCAAGAAGGAAAATATTATTATTATCACATTATTATTATTATTATTATTATTATTATTATTATTGAGTTCGGAGGTACCCCTAGGGTCACCCAGTCCAACCCCCTTCTGCCACTGAGGAAGATACAATTGAAACCCTCCCAACAGATGGCCATCCAGCCTTGCTTAAGAAGAAGGCAGGAAGACAGAATTGCTATTATATTCTCTATTATTATTATTATTATTATTATTATTATTATTATTATTATTGACACAAAAGCACAGTATGTCACAGCAAATTATTATTATTATTATTATTATTATTATTATTATTATTATTAGACTTACAGAGTTGGACAGGACCTCTAGAGGCCACCCAGTCCAACCCCCTTCTATCATTGGAGAAGGCACCCTCCGATCCCTCCCAACAGATGGCCACCCAGCCATAGGAATACAGATGAATCTCTACATATAACCCAATGGGACTTACGATCTCCAACTGCTGCCCAAAGTCCTCACTCTCGATGGCCTTGATCAGGGGACGGAGCTTCTCTTTAAGGCGCCGCCCTTCTTTTGCGGGAAGCAGGAAGCGCAGCCGCATCTGGGCTCGGTCAATGCGCATCGTCCCTTTCAACAGCTGGATCACCTCCAAGGCCTGGAAGGGAAAGAGGATCGGCTATAAGAATCCGCTACTAGGACTATTTCTCCATCTGGAAGCATGGCCATCCGTCGGGAGGGCTTTGATGGTGTTCTCCAGCCAGGGGATAGGATTGGATGGCCCTCTGATCCTCCAGTGACATTCTATGACATATATGGTTTAACTTTGGTCCTCCAGGTGTTTTGGACTGCAACTCCCACAATTCCTAACAGCCATAGTTATAGTTATTATTATATTTAAAATTCATTTCTTGATCATCATAAGTGATAATCAAGTAATGATCTTGGACTGAAACTCTAGATTTGCAGACGTAGACTTGTTTGCGTTTTAATATATTAATGGCCAATATTTTAATGTATTTTACGATCTTGTTGTCTTATTTAATGTTCAATATTTGTATTGTGATGGTTTGTCTATTGGCATCTAATGGCTGCCAGTTGTAAGCCGCCCTGAGTCCCCCCTCGGGGTTGAGAAAGACGGGATACAAATACTCAAAATAAATAAGTCCTGGTATTATTATTATTATTATTAACAAAACAACAACAACAATAATAATATAGCAACAGTTTCAGGGTTTCCTAGTTCCAGGGCATCCCCAAGGGGGACCAAACCACATCAGTTCCCCAGTGTAGACATGCCTTTCTTACCTGCTGCTTGGTGCTCTTCCCAGGTCGGACGGAGTAGTGTGCATCACGCATGGCCTTCTCGATGAGGCCGGCAGTGTAGGGCCGCTTGGTCTCAGGGTCCACGCACTTCTCGGCCACGATGGTGGCAATGTCCCGGAACATCTGCTCCAGCTGCACGTGGCGCTCCCGGTCCGACACCTGCAGCTCCCCTTTGGACAGGATCTGGGCAACAAAGGAAGGGGCATAACCTCCGTCAAGGGGCCCCACGAGGACATCTAGTCCAACCCCTTTCTGCCATAAACAAAGGCATCATCCAATCCCTCCTGATAGAGGGCCATAGGTATGATTGATATAGAGCAATCACTAGATATGTAGATATGATTGAGAAAGGGGTATACAATAGAATCCTAGAGGAGATTGAAGGGACCTCTAGAGGCCATCCAGACCAACCATCATAAAGGCACCATCCAATCCCTCCCAACAGATAGCCATCCAGCCATAGGTATGATTATTGATTGCTCTATCTCAATAGACCAGAAAAAAATTGAGAATGGAGTATCATAGAATCCTAGAGGAGTTGGGAGGGATCTCTAAAGACCATCTGGACCAACCATCTTCTGTCATAAAGAAACCATCTGATCTCTTCTAACAGAGGGCCAGCCAGCCTCTGCTTAATAATAATAATAATATGGTGATGATGATAATCACAGAATCATATAGTTGGAGGAAACCCCCAAAGGCCATGCAGTCCAACAATAACAATATTATAATAATAATAGTATCCTAAAGCTGGAAGCGACCCCCCCCCCCCCCCCCCCCCCGCCAAGGCCATGCAATCCAACCCCTTACAACACCAACAATGATGATGATAGAATCCTAACGCTGCAAGGTACCCCCTAAGTTGGATGGGACATCTAAAAACCATCTGGACCAAGCCCCTCCTTCTCTAAAGAAAGGCACCATTCGATCCTTCCCGACAGATAGCCATCCAGCCATAGATGTGATTGAGATAGACTGATTGATAGACATGGTTGATCATAGGGGTAGATCATAGAATCCTAGAGACTGAAGGGACCTCTAAATGCTATCTGGTTGAGCTTCATTCGGCCCCAAAGAAAGGCATAATCTGATCCCTCCCGACACAGGGCCACCCAGCCCACCTGCTTGCATATTTCTGTCTGGTCCTCTGTCCCAAAAGCTTTGAGGAGGTCCTCCTTCTTGGCCACCTGCCCCTTGGAGACGTTGACAAACACCGTGTGCGTCTGCAGCACCTCTTCCAGGTCCTTTTCCCTGGAAAAAAGGGATAAGAAATATATGACAACTATATAAATAATAATAAAGAAGAGTGTAGGTAATAATTTATATATTAAATATAATGTAACAAAATAATTTATAATTAATATATTATGAAATATAATCTAATAATATTTATGCATTAAATATAATGTAATAAAATACGTATATTGCAGTAATAAATATAATAATAAAAATAATATGGAAGTCTATATAATAGATACATATATATTAAATGTAATCGAATAAAATACTTATAATTATAATAAATATATAAATAACAAGGACGTTGATACATAATATATATTAAATATGATCTAATCTCATTATAATAATGCTATAATAATTATAATAATAAGGAAATTTTCTGGCCTTGCGCATGCGCAGACGCCTTTTGCCTGCCTCTGAGGCAGCCTTCTGTCCTTGCGCATGCGCACAGGCTCCCACTCACGCTCCGCTCCGCCAGCCGAGGACCTTGTTCCGATAGCAAGCGATCTCGAAGCGCTTCCCGGCCCGCTTCGTCCGCACCACCGCCACGTTCGTCAGCCGAATCTGGTTCGTCGGAGTGAAAATCGACATGGCTGCAACTCTAAAAGGGCTCCGGTGAGAACTAGGCCTGTTTTTCCCCTACTGCGCATGCGTACAAGGCGGTCCTCCCAGCTCGGAGCTCCTCCCTCCAACGCCACACCCAATCCGATTGCTTTCGGGTTGTGACGTCACCGGATGGGAAACAACACCTCGCGGGTCCTGTCCCGATATGCGTCCGGGTGGGAAACGAAGGGCGGGAAGATATGTAGTTCCGGGATATATATTAAAAAAGGGCACGTGCTTTGCAAATTGTGACACACGAGCCAAGATGGCGGCTTGCAGGAGAGGAGGAGCAGAAGGGAGGCCTCCTCGGGAGTAAAAGCCCAAAGATGGGTAAGAGGGGGGCTCCTAGGCCAGGCAGGGGCCAGCTTGGCCCTTCAGGTGTTTTGGGAGAAAGATCTCTTGTCTGCTGGAGGCAAGTGTGAATGCTGCCTCCAGCAATTGAATGGCCTTGCAGCTTCAAAGCCTGGCTGCTCCCTGCCTTTGTTGGGAAGTGGGAGAAAGAACTCTTGTCTGCTGGAGGCAAGTGTGAATGTTGCAATTGACCACTTCGATTAACACTGAGTGGCCTTGCAGCTTCAAAGCCTGGCTGCTTCCTGCCTTTGTTGGTAGGTGGGAGAAAAAATTCTTGTCTGCTGGAGGCAAGTGTGAATGTTGCAATTGATCACTTTGATTAGCATTGAATAGCCTTGCAGTTTCAAAGCCTGGCTGCTTCCTGCCCGGGTGAATCCTTCATTGGGAGGTGATTAGCTGGTCCAGATTGTTTCCTGTCTGGAATTCCTCTGTTTTCTGAGTGTTCCTATTTATTTACTGTTCTGGTTTTGGAGTTTTTTTTAACACTAGTTGCCAGATTTTGTTCATTTTCATGGTTTCCTCCTTTCTGTTGAAATTGTCCGCCTGCTTGTGGATTTCAAGGGCTTCTCTGTGTAGTCTGACATGGTGGTTGTGAGAATGGTTCAGCATGTCTGTGTTCTCCAATAACATGCTGTGTCCAGGCTGGTCCATCAGAGGCTCTGCTATGTCTCACTTCTCTGGTTGAAGTAGTCTGCAGTGCCTTTCAAGTTTCAAGGAGGGTGGACCATGGATGATGGGACTTACAGTACCGTAACTCAGTTACTGCGACCCTCATCAATGACTGATCAAGACCAAACTTGGCACACAGAGCCCCCATGATCCATTCTACATCCTGCTGCAGTTTGGAGGAGGGCAGACCATGGATGATGGGACTTGCAGTAGCTTCACTCACTTACTGAAACCATTGCGACCCTTATCCAAAGACCAATAAAGACCAAACTTGGCATACAGAATCCCCATTACCCACTTTCTCTAATAACCCGGGCACTGCCAGGTCCCCAAGCTATGCTGCTGCGTTTGGTGGTCCCTATGTAGACTTGTCCACAGCTGCATGGGATATGGTAGAGCAACACTCAAAACACAGGGGAACTCTAGACAGGAAACAATCAGGGCCAGCTAACACCTCCCAATAAAGGACCCCCCAGGCAGGAAGCAGGAAGGCTTTGAAGCTACAAGGCCATTCATAGAGGGAGCAAGCTTGTTTTCTGCTGTCCTGGAGACTAGGACACAGAATGAAAGGAGATTCCATCTGAACATTACGAAGAATTTCCTGACTGTGAGAGCTGTTCAGCAGTGGAACTCTCTGCCCCAGAGTGTGGTGGAGGCTCCTTTGGAAGCTTTTAAACAGAGGCTGGATGGCCATTTTCCTGAATGCAATTTTCCTGCTTCTTGGCGGAATGGGGTTGGACTGGATGGCCCAGGAGGTCTCCTCCAACTCTAGGATTCTATATGGGTCTCCTGCTGTGACCAGCGAATGCAGTTCCAAATGGCAATGCAGATCCAGCCTCAATAAATTAAATATCCGGCTTCTGAGTTGGGTAGGGATGCTGGGAGTTGTAGTATCGCCTTTAAGACAAACTTGTTTCTGTTTTGGCTTTCCTTGCAGAGTCGCCAATAGAGGGTTTGGATGGCCTCTATGGGCCCCTGAGCTTCTTATGGCTGAACCGCTTCTACCTTTATTCTGGTGCCGCCTTTGGGTTTGGCCTTTGGATCTGCCTCCAGCTGCTCCTTGGCAAAAGCCCAAAGCAGAAGGTAAAACCCCATGATAGTCCATATATATATATGTATGTAGCGAGGTATATAGATAATTTTTATATAGTGTTTTTATTACTTGAATATAAGGTATCATATTTTTATTATTGCATTTTATATAGATACATAGTATTCTTATTTCTGCAGACTCTATCAATGATAAGAATTCTGCAAAACCCATATAAATATGTTTGTAAATATATTATTAATATATCTTATAGGTCATATATCATATTATAAACAAGGCTACATTGCTGCCTTGTTTATAATATGATATATTGTTGTTGGGGTTCATAGTGCAGGTACCTACAACTCCTATAAATCAAGGTGAATTCCTTGATTTATAGTGGGAGCTATAGATGTTTGTGGAGGCAGGAGCTTGTCCGTATAAGTGGACACTCCAGCAAACATACACTCGTACATATTATCACTTTTATTATGTGTTTAGATATATAGATATTCTTAATCCTTATAATTTTGGGAAAATGAGTAAAATAAATGTGTTGACTGATTATTTGAATATTTTAGCATGTAAAGGAGTTTGAAAAGCTTCCAAAAAGCCCAGTTTTCCAAAAAGAGGAGAAAAACCAAATTAATGGCGTGAAAATATTTTACGGATCCCAGACTGGAACGGCGAAGGTAAATATGGCAGGAAAGAAAACCAGATTTTTGCATCGGGATTGGGATTTGGGATTGCATTTTAATATTTTAATGTTTCAGGGTATTAATGACACGAATTGTATATATGTAGATAGATAGATAGATAGATAGATAGATAGATAGATAGATAGATAGATAGATAGATAGATAGATATACACACATTCATACATACACTTTACAATTGGTATGATACTTATATTGATATATGTGTGTGTTACATGAGTATATATATCGCATGAGTATATATAGAATATATGTATATATCTATTCTGTGATTATATATGTGTGTGTACATGTATATTGTACGATTATATATTTATATGTGTGATTATATGTATATGTGTGTGTGTGTATATATATAGTATGAATATGTATATATGTATTGTATGACTATATATATATACATGTATGTATTGCATGAGTTTATATAAAATGTTGTATATGTATGTGTGTATGTATTGTTTGAGTATATACGTATTGTATGTATATATATTGTATCAGTATATGTATGTATTGTTTGAGTGTATATATGTATATTATGTGTGTGTATATATATATATATTGTATCAGTATATATCTATGAATGTGTGCATTATGAGTATACGTATATATGTGTGTGTGTATTGTATGTGAGCATGTATCTATATATAGTATGAATGTATATATGAATATATGTACAACTGGTAAGGCCAGTAATTTCCCAGTACAGTGCCTATACCACCAATACTTCCATTAATTCCTATTTTATGATTATTATTTTTAGTGGGGAGGGGGGGCGACTTTCATTCTTTTTTAATACTGGTATGTGTGTGTATATATTATAGATATAATATTATAATTATCTTATATATTCTAATTATATTATTATAACATACATTTTATTATAGATATAATTATGTTATAATATATATTCTAATTATATTATTATAATATACATATTATAATTATAGATATTATTACTATTATTGATTGTTATTATATTTATTTACATCCCGAGGCTGTTGGGGGTCCCGAGGGGGTCGTCTTATACACCAGAAAATACAGGGTATTTATATTGTAGAGCACTAACATGGGCTTAATTTCAATTTTTCAATTTGTAACATTGGCCACCCGGAGCCCTTATATTCCAGGATTAAAATAAAGTCATTTTCTCCCCCAGAGGTTTGCCTTGAAGCTGGCTGAAGCCGTCGCCTCATCGGATCTGCCATCAGAAGCCATTGATATGAAGGACTACGATCCGGAGGATGCTCTGGCGGAAGAGGTGGGTGATGGGAGTTGTAGTGTTAATAACAGCAACAATTTGGGTTGGACTTTCAGTTCTTGTATAGAAAGCTAAAGGGATAATAATAACAATAGATTAAATTTGGGTGTGTGGGACTTTTGTTTCTTATATAAAAAAAACCTCCAAATAATAGTATTTATAATACATTAAATAATAATACATAATAATAAATTTAATTTGGGTGGGACTTCTGTTTCTTATATAATAATTTAGAATTTATAATATTGAAATAAAATATAATCTAAATATATATTGACTGGTTGCCCTGACATGACAAATAAATAAAATCTAAATATATTATTATTATTATTATTATTATTATTATTATTATTATTATTATTAGCTCCATTTATACTCTGTCGCCGAAGGAGACTCAAAGCAGCCTGGCCAAAAAGCTTTAGTACACAATTTTAAGTATACAAATATACAAACATTAAACAGAATTACACAAACGGCACTAAAAAAATCAGTTAAAATCCATCAAAACATAATAATAATAATAATAATAATAATTATTATTATTATTATTATTATTATATAATCTGTACACATAATAAAAGTAAAAATATGTACATGTGTGTGGTTGGGGTGTCCACTACTCAGGAGACACCAATGGCCCTCCCTCCAATAGCATTGCAGGTGATAGTGAGCACCACAATCCAGGGTTCATTTCTCTCTCCATTGGTGTGGAATTTGCATGACATTGCAGGTTGTTAGCAAGCCCCATGAAGATATCCAAGAGCCCTGCCAATGTCCTCCCCACCACCCAAGGCAAGGCTTTTATGCATGGACAATTCCATCCTAGATTTCATGTGTTTCCTCCACCACAGACATCCCAGTGTTTCTGACTCTCTCCAATGGTGTGGAATTTGCATGACCCCACCCACTGCCTTAACCCTCTCCTATTCTTTTATATGGAGCCCCCGGTGGCGCAGTGGGTTAAAGCACTGAGCTGCTGAGCTTGTTGATCGAAAGGTCGCAGATTCGATTCCGGGGAGCGGCATGAGCTTCCGCTGTCAGCCCTAGCTTCTGCCAACCTAGCAGTTCGAAAACATGCAAATGTGAGTAGATCAATAGGTACCGCTCCGGCGGGAAGGTAACGGCGCTCCATGCAGTCATGCCGGCCACATGACCTTGGAGGTGTCTACGGACAACGCTGGCTCTTCGGCTTAGAAATTGAGATGAGCACCACACCCCCAGAGTCAGACATGACTGGACTTAATGTCAGGGGACTACCTTTACCTTTACCTATTCTTTTATATGGGTTTTAGTGGTCTGACTCACCATAGTGGGAGTAAAATAATAATAATAATAATAATACTCTCTTTCTTTGCAGGCCCGTCGGAGCACAGTCTGTGCCTTCCTGGTGTCCACTTTCACAGATGGACAGCCTCCGGAGAGTGCGGTTTGGTTTTGTAAATGGTTGCAGGAAGCGGCCAATGACTTCCGGGTCGGGAAGCACTTCCTGCGTGGATTGCGCTTCGCCGTTTTCGGCCTGGGAGACTCTGCCTACCAGGAGAACTATAATGTAGTGAGTCCTTGAGCTTATTGTTATTGTTATCTCTATGGAATAATAAATAATAATAATGGCATGATATTTTGAACTCTGCTTTGAAACTCTAATAATAATTTTAGAATTTTAAATAATATAATGCAGTATATTTTTCTAACCATAGTCTAACTCAATAGGAATACTGTATAGCTGCTATAGAAAATATTGTATAAAATTATAAGAATGTAATAAAATATATTAAAAATATCAAAATGTAATAGAATATTTAATGAAAAATAAAAAGTATAAAAAAATTAATAAAATATATTATTATAATAAAAATTATAAAAATGAAATGAAATATATAATAAAATTATAAAAATTTAGTATATAATGAAGAGTATAAAAATGTAATAGAATATATAATAAAATTATAAAAATGTAATAGGAATATATAATAAAAATAAAAATTATAAAAATAATTATAAAAATGTAATGGAACATATAATAAAAATAAAAATTATAATAATGTAATAACATATAATAAAATTATAAAAAAGCATATATAATAAAAATTATAAAAATAATTATAAAAATGTAATGGAATATATAATAAAAATAAAAATTGTAAAAATGTAGTAGGAATATATAATAATAAATAAAATTATAGTATATAATAAAATTAAAATTATAAAAATGTAATAAAATGTGATAGAATATATAATAAAAATCTACAAAAATGTAATATATATAATAGATAAAATTATAATAAAACATAAATAAAACATATAAATAATCAAATAATAATAAATTTGCAGTAATTCTGAAATTTTAAATGTTTAATAAAAATGAGAAATTATAATATTGAAATAAAATATAACCTAAATATAAAATGATAACAAAATAAAAAATTAAAATATCAATGTATACTTAAAACATATAAAATCTATATGTGTGTTGTTTGTGTTGCAGGTGGGCCGGCATGTGGACCAATGGCTGTGGAGCCTGGGGGCCCAGCGGGTGCTGCCTTTGTGCCGAGGGGACGCCGACCCTTCGAGGGGGAGCCTAGAAAGTGACTTTGAGGCCTGGAAAGCCCGTCTGGTCTTGCGGCTGAAGGCCCTGCAGAAGAAGGAAGAAGGAGGGAAGGAAGGAACGAAGAAGAAGAAGAGCAAGAAAGGAGGACAGCAGCCCCACAAGGAAGGAGCCGAGGAGACGCAGGTGGGCCCCACCTTCTTTGTCTTCCTTTTCTTATGGCTTACTGGGATATATATCACTGATTACAATATTATATTATCCCACATTCTTCTTTTTCCTCTTCTTACCGCTTATAATAATAATAATAATGATTATGTATATTTAATGATAATATATATGTGTGTGTGTATATATATATTACGATCAATGATGAGCACCAAAAAATGTACAAATGTCAGAATAGGAACATATACATTTAGCTGTTAAGAAAAACTATCAAAAGTTATCATACATTGTTATTATTATTACTATTAATAATAATAATAATATGGTATGATAATATAGTATCCCACATTCTTTTTCCTCTGCTTATGGGTTAATGATAATAATAGTAATACTGATGATAATATATATATATATATATATATATAATAAGGTATGATGTATTTTATTATTCCACATTCTTCTTCTTCCTCTTTATGGCTTAACAATAATAATAATACTGATAATAATAATATGTTTACATATATTGTATATAATAATAATAATAATAATAATAATAATAATAATAATATGGTATTATGTATTATATTATCCCACAATCATTTTCTTCTTCTTCTTATGGCTTAATAATAATAATAATATATATCCCAGACACTAGGACCTAATATGCATGTGTGCTGTGCTGTGTTGTTATGTACAAATAAATCATATATTATTGATTTATTTTTACATAACAACACAGCACAGCACACATGCATATTAGGTCCAAGTATATAATAATATCAATATGGTACAATAATAATGTATAATATTATGCCACATTCTTCTTCCTCTTCCTACGGCTTAATAATAATATGTTATAATAATATGGCATAATAATAATAATGTGTGTGTGTTATATTATATGCTTCTAAGACTTTGAGTTGCTTCTGGTCTAAGAACTGGATGGTCATAGTAATATTACTACTACTAATAATAATAATAATACTTTTACTATTACTATCAATTCTATATTTATTATATTATTCCAATACATTATTATTATTATTATTATTATTATTATTACTAATATTACTATTATTACCACCACTATATATTTAGTATTATTACAGTTCTATATTTATGTTATCATCATTATTACTCTTATTATCAACACTATATTTACTATTACTACTACTATAATTACTATTATCAATACTATATTTATTATTATTATATTATTATTACTATTATTGCAATACTATATTCATAGTATTATTATTATTATCAATACAATTTTTTATATTTATTTATCACATTGATAATATTAATATCTATTATATTTTATGTTTAGTAGTTATATTTACCATCCTTCCTGGACCTCTTTTGCATCCTTTATTTCAGGGTCCACCAGAGGATCAATTTGAATCCAGCAGTGAAGGAGAAGAAAAGAAAGCGGATCCTGTGACTGATGTTGAGGATCTGGGCCCCGTCATGCGACGCATGAAGAAAGCCCAGGTATCACCTGCTCCAATATAATATATATTGATAATATATAATATTAGTATTTTACTATGTTTACATATGTTTGTATGTCTTTCTTGGCAGGAGGAAGAAAAGGAGGCCGGGAAACCAAGGGAGATGATCACACCGGTCTTGAGAGAAGCCCTCACCAAGCAAGGTCCATTTATGGGGAATAGAAAGAGTCAAAAGGCCATCTAGTCTGACCCATAATAATAATAATAATAGTAATAGTAATAATAATTAGTGATGTAAATATGATAATAATAATAATATAGGGGCTCCTAAAGGCCATCTAGTCTGACCCCTTCTGCAAGGCCAGGGGGAGGGCCCAACATAATAATAATAATAATAATAATAATAATAATAATAATAATAATATAATATAGGGACTGCCTGAAAAACCATCTAGTCTGATCCCCTTCTGCCAGGGCAGAGGAAGGACCCAATATAATTGTTACAACAATAGTAATAATAATAAATCGTTATCCATAATTATATAATTTTAAATGATGCGAATATAAAATGTCATATCAAAATAATAATATTAATAATATAGGATCCCTGAAATGGAATCTAGTCTGACCCCTTTCTGTCAGGCCAGAGGGAGGACCCCCCTCCTCTCTCTCTCTTTATGTATATATATATAAGTGATGTAAATACAAAATATAGTATTAAAATAAGAATTTAAAAATAATATATTAATAAAATAAGAATTCATTACTATTAATCATAACATATAATAATACAAAGTGATGTTAAAAATAAAATACCTTAAAGTTATAATATGAGTCCCCTTGCAGAGAGAGAAAAAGTTGGGTAATACTAATAATAATTGTAATGATAATTAAATATTTGGTTCCAGGTTACAGATTGATAGGGAGCCATTCGGGAGTGAAGCTCTGCCGCTGGACAAAGGTATGCATTTCCTCTCATTGTTATATTATTATTATTATTATTATTATTATTATTACTATTACTATTACTATTACTATTGTCCATGGCTGCTAATGGCTGTGTGTGTGTGTATATACACATACATACACACACATACACCCACACAAATAATAATAATAATGTATATATTTAAGTAATTATATAATCTAAACACTATTACATTAAATTATAAACTCCTAGCATATATACATATGTGTATATTATTATTATTATTATTAAGTTTATATTTATTCCTGGCCAAAGGGGGTTGGATTCGATGGCCTTTGGGGGTCCCTTCTAGCTCTAGGATTCTAATAATAATAGTAATAATAGAGCAGGTTGGACTGGGTGGCTTTTGGGGGTCCCTTCCAACTCCAGGATTATATTATTATTGTTGTTGTTGTTGTTAGGGTTGGACTGAGTGGCCTTTGGGGGTCCCTCCCAACTCTTACGTCTTACCCAGAATTTCCAAGATTTATGTATTTGATCTATATCTATCTATCTATCTATCTATCTATCTTGTTTTCCTTCCCAGTCGATGCTCAGGGGACGCGGCGGGTGCTACAAGCATACCTTCTATGGGATTGAGAGCCACCGCTGCATGGAGGCCACCCCCAGCCTGGCCTGCGCCAACAAGTGCGTCTTCTGCTGGAGGTATGGCATACTATTAACCTTATTATTATTATTATTATTATTATTATTATTATTATTATTATTAAGCAGTTTCCACAGCACCCAAGATTCAGAACGGACCCCCAGAGGCCATCCAATCCAACCCACTTATTAGGATCATATTATTATCTCTATTATTATTATTATTATTATTATTATTATTATTATTATTATTATTGCATGTTCCCATTGACTCATGGGATATTGCCCTTGACCTCTGTTCCTTTCCCTCTGCAGGCATCACACGAATCCAGTAGGGACCGAGTGGCGCTGGAAGACAGATGACCCGGAAGTGATCTTCAAGGAAGCCGTGGAAAACCATCTCAGCCTCATCCGGCAGTTCAAAGGTAATGCCCTGGAGCCACTGAATAGATATCTAATCATTGATGATGATGATGATGATGATGATACCAGCAGTCATGATGCTCAAGTCGTGAGATATAAAATATATAACTATAAGAATAAATATAATAATAAATATACTATAATAATAATAATACCAGCACTCATGGTGGTCATATCATGAAATATAATAATAATAATAATAATAATAATAATAATAATAATAATATAGTTACCATAATACCAGCACTTGAATGTTAAGTCATGAGATATATAATAAATATTTGAATAATAATAATAGGACTGGGTGGCCTTTGGGGGTCCCTTCCAGCTACAGGATATTATTATTATTATTATTATTATTATTATTATTATTATTATTATTATTATTATTATTATTATTAGGGTTGGACTGAGTGGCCTTTGGGAGTCCCTACCGTACTAATACTGATGCTCATGATGGTCAAGTCATGAGACGTAATATATTATAATTACAATACTACATCATGCGGTAATAATCATAATCATAATACGAGCACACATAATTGTCAAGTCATGAGATACATAATAAATATTAGAATAATAATAATTATAGTAATACTGATGCTCATGGTGATCAAGTCATGAGTAATATAATATTTAATAATAACAATAATAATAATAGCAATTCTGACAGTCATGTCATGAGGTATAATAGAAATAGTAATAATTGTAATAATAATAAATAATGGCACTCATGATGGTTGAATCCTGAGCTATGGAATAACTAATAATAATAATAATAATAATAATAATAATAAAGTATCAGCACTCACGATGAGATACAGGATATATAATAAACATAATAATATAATAATAATGGTATCCCTGATGATAAAATGCCCTGAAACATAACATTACATAATATAATATAATAATGGTGCTCTTTCTGCAGGGGCGCCTGGTGTGCAGGAGGAGCGCCTGCGTTCGGCGCTGTCCCCTCGCCATTGCGCGCTGTCCCTGGTGGGGGAGCCCATCCTTTACCCGCGCATCAATGCCTTCCTGCGCCTCCTCCACCGCAGCCGCATCTCCAGCTTCCTGGTCACCAACGCACAGTTTCCTGACGAACTGCGGTGAGTCTCCCATCATCCCCAAGTAATATGGGCCACATAGCGGCACCTCAGATTACGTACCCCAAATAGTGTGTGCCAGAGCAGCACCTGAGACGGCATACCACAACACTGTCAGATTGGTATCTGGGACTACATATCCCATCATTGCTGGAATGCCACCCCAGGAATTTGTATCACAACATTGACAGGCCAGCACTCAGGACTACATAGCCCATTATTAGAATGGCATCCCGGATTACATATCCCACTATTGCCATAATGGCACCTCGGGCTACATATCACATAATTGCTAGAATGGCGCCTAATATGACATAGCTCATCTGCTAGAATGGCATCCTGGACTACATATCCTATCATCAATAGGACAGCATCTCAGACTACATATCCCACCATTTCCATATTAGCACTTGTGACTACATATGTCGCCATTGCTAGAACAGCGCCTGGGACTACATAGCCCATCATTGCTAGACAGGCGCCTGAGACGTCATAGCCCATCTGCTAGAATGGCATCCTGGACTACATATCCCATCATTGATAGGACAGCATGTTAGACCGCATATCCCATAATTGCTAGAAATGCATAAAGGACTCCATATCCCATCCTGGGCTACATAATGGTGTTTCCTCCTCCTTTCCTTCCTCCCTTTCCTTCCGGTTCTTCCTTGGTGAGCGCAGTGGGCTGGAGCCGGTGACGCAGCTGTACGTGAGCGTGGATGCCGCCACCAAGGAGAGCCTCAAGCGCATCGACCGCCCGCTCTTCAAGGACTTCTGGCAGCGCTTCCATGACAGCCTCACCGCCCTAGCACAAAAGGTACCTCCAATAATATGCCTATTACTATTATTTAATATATTTAGTATTATTATATTTTCTATTATATTTGCTTATCCTTTGCTTATTACAACTATATTTATAGTGTATTAGTATATTTTTACTCCTCAGGCATTATTATATGTAATATTATATTTGTTTATCCTTTGCTTACTATTATTATATTATTATTATTATAGTTAATATTATATTTATTAATATATTTGTCCTTCAAGTACCATTATATTTGCTTATTATTATATTTAATATATTTATTAATACATTTGTTTATGCCCTATTATTATATTTACCATTATTATATTTAGTATTAAATTTACTATTACTATCTTTTTTCATTTGCTTATTATTATGTTTAATATATTTATACCTTGTCTAGAATTATTATATTTAATAGTACATTTACTATTATTATTATTATTAGTATTAAATTTACTATTACTATATTTATTTGTCCTTCGTTTATTTTTATGTTTAATATATTTATACCTTGTCTAGAATTATTATATTTAGTATTATTATTTTATTTAGTATTAAATGTACTATTATTACATTTATTTGTCCTTTGCTTATTATTATTATCTTCAATATATTTATCCCTTACCTAGAATTATTATATGTATTATTATATTTATTATTATTATTATTATATTTAGTATTAAATTTACTATTACTGTATTTGTTTATCCTTCCTTTATTACGTTTAATATATTTATCCATAGTTTAGAATTATTATTTTATTATTGTATTTATATTTATTATTAAATTTACTATTACTATATTTATTTATCCTTCCTTTATTATTACATTTAATCTATTTATCCATAGTTTAGAATTATTATATTTATTATTATTATTGTATTTTAATATTAAATATAATAATAATTTGTCCTTCACTTATGTTTAATACATTTATCCCTCACCTAGAATTATTATATTTATTATTATATTTAATATTACATTTACTATTATGTATTTATTGCCTAGCCTAGAATTATATTATTATTATTATTATTATTATTATTATTATTATTATATCCCTTGCTGTAAAACTATTATTATTATTATCATTATTATTATTATTATTATTATATAAATTGAATATATTGAATGTCATAGTAACACATAGAAAATAATAATAGAACTTAATGATACTACATTGAAAATATTAATTGTTGTGTTTAATAATAAATGGTGCTGTTTTGAGCTGCCCTGAGTCTTGTTTAACAATTAGTATTACTATTATTTTATTATTATTTTATTTTCCTCCCTCCAGAAGCAGCGCACAGTCTATCGGCTGACGTTGGTCAAAGCATGGAATGTGGATGAGTTGAAAGCCTATGCTGACTTAGTGGCCCTCGGGACCCCGGACTTCATTGAGGTCAAAGTGAGTGATGGGACATCGAGTGGATTCCACTTTGGGTTTAAATAGTATTATTTTAATAATAATAGGTAATAATGTAGTAATTCTCACTCACTTCTTGGCCAAAGAGGGCTGGACTGGATGCCCTTTGGGGGGTCCCTTCCGACTCTAATAATAATAATAATGGATAATAATAATAATACAGTAATTCTCCCTTCTTGGCCAAAGAGGGCTGGACTGGATGTCCTTTGGGGGTCCCTTCCGACTCTAATAATGATAATAGTAATAATAGTAATAATAATAATAATAATGGATAATAATAATATAGTAATTCTCACTTCCTTCTTGGCCAAAGAGGGCTGGACTGGATGCCCTTTGGGGGTCCCCTCCAACTTTAATAATAATAATAATAATAATAATAATAATAATAATAATTGATAATTGATAATAGATAATAATATAGTAATTTTCACTTCCTTCTTGGCCAAAGAAGCTTGGACTGGATGTCCTTTGGGGGTTCCTTCTGACTCTAATAATAATAATAATAGATAAGAATAATATAGTAATTCTCACTTCCTTCTTGGTTAAGGAGGGTTGGACTGGATGCCTTTTAGGGGGGTTCCTTCCAACAATAATAATAATAGATAATAATAGATAATAATAATAATATCGTAATTCTCACCACCTTCTTGGCCAAAGAGGGTTGGACTGGATGTGCTTTGGGGATCCCTTCTGACTCTAATAATAATAATAATAGTAATAATAATAATAATAACAATAATAGATAATAATAATAGATAATATATTATAATAATATAGTAATTCTCGCTTCCTTCTTGGCCAAAGAGGGCTGGACTGGATGCCCTTTAGGGGTCCCTTCCAACTCTAATAATAGTAATAAAAGATAAAAATAATATAGTAATTCTCACTTCCTTCTTGGTCAAAGAGGGTTGAACTGGATGCGCTTTGGGGGTCCCTTCTGGCTCTAATAATAATAATAATGATAATAATAATAATAATAATTGGGTGTTGTGGGGTTTTTCGGGCTATATGGCCATGTTCTAGAGGCATTTCTCCTGACGTTTCGCCTGCATCTATGGCAAGCATCCTCAGATGCAGGCGAAACGTCAGGAGAAATGCCTCTAGAACATGGCCATATAGCCCGAAAAAGCCTTCGACAATAATAATAATAATAGGTAATAGATAATAATGATATAGTAATTCTCACTTCCTTCTTGGCTGAGGAGGGTTGGGCTGGATGCCCTTTGGGTGTCCCTCCTTCTCCATCCTCTGGATGGCCCTCTGTGGGGAGGGATCGGCTGTTGGCTGCCTCGTCCTCTCCTGGTTCTGACGGGTCCTGCTGCTCCTTGCAGGGGGTGACGTACTGCGGCGCGGGGGGCCTGACGCTGGCCAATGTGCCCTGGCATGAGGAGGTGTTGCGCTTTGCCCAGGAACTGGCCGCCTTCCTCCCGGACTACGAGGTGGCCTCCGAGCACAAGCACTCCAACTGCCTCCTCATCGCACACACCAAGGTAAGGTCCCAGTCCTCCTTGGGAAGGTTTGCCAAAAAGGGGGAGGAAGTAGAACAGGGTCAGAGCAAGGTGCAGGGGTGCTGCTGCTGCGGAATCACAGCTTGATTAGTATTATTATTGTATTGTGTTATTATTTACGGTATTATTATTACTATTAATAATTAAATAATAAAATATACGATGTGAACGATGATGTGAATGGATGGTTGCATTTCCTCTTTTGCAGTTCAAGATGGAGGGCGCCTGGCACACTTGGATCGACTTTGACCGCTTCCAGGACCTCCTCCAGACCGGGGAGCCCTTCTCGGCCTGCGACTACGCGGCCCCCACCCCTCCTTGGGCCACTTTTGGGGCCCCCGAGCAGGGCTTTGACCCTAAGGAGACCCGCGTCCAGCGCAAGGACAAAGCCAAGGACCTTTCGGGTTGCTGACCCCCAAAAGGAGCTCGTGTGAGAGGTCACGTCATGGACATTATGGGGACCGGGAAGCCCCCCGTAGCCTTCAGGAGGGATTTTGATGTTCTAGGGATCCCATTGAGACCCTACTTCCATCCTATTTGGACCCAGTGGGACCCTACATTTGTATCCTGTATGAACCCTATATTTTGACTCTATATCTTGGCCTTATTTGAACCCTAGATTTCAACCCTATACTTGGGTCTCATTTTGCCGCCTTTGAATTCTATTTTGACCCCATTTGGACCCTATATTTCAACCCTATACTTAAGTCCCATTTTACCTCCTTTGGGTTCTATTTTGATCCCATTTGGACCCTAGATTTCAACTCTATACCTGGGTCCCATTTTGCATCCTTTGGGCCCCATTTGGACCCTAGATTTCAACCCTATACTTGGGTCTCTTTTTACCTCC